GTTGGGACAAACTTAAGTCCATCCGCCCCTAACGCTCTATTCCTTCCCTCTCGATCCCACCGGCCTCCCAGGAAGAGCAGTGACCAGGAGGGGACGGCCCTTTCCTTCCTCCGCGGGCCTGGGGGTGCCTTGGAAACCTTCTCCATGGGGTTCAGAGGTCTCCCTCTTCTTCTTGCCCCAAAGAATCCCCCAGACCCTGTATCAGACCCTGTACAGTGTGTTCTATATGAATCGGCAGAAGGCGTGGATCCAGATCCTGACGTCCTGGCATCTCTGGACTTCCCAGAGCTGGAAGGGGACAATACCCAAAGGACCTTGGGCTTGGCTATGTCCCCTGGCCCTTCTGGGGAGCCAGACAGCAAGAGGCCCTGCCTGGGGAAAATGAGGAGTGAGGCAGAGTCAGACAGGAAGCCACGATTTTCAGTGAACATTCATGGACAGACAACACCGTGCAGTGAGTGTTCTCCGTGCTGGGCTATCTCCTCTGTAGCTCTGGGGTTGTCTGTCTCCTCGGTTCTGCTCCAACTTCCCTCAGCACTCAGCTAAGGCTGATTATAAGAACAAATTAAGGAGTAGATCAAGATGGGAGCTTCCATCATGGTGATCGACTTAAAAAAAATCAAAGTAGATGATCTGGCTACACGTATGTAGGCATGCCCTAAGCCTCAATTTCCTCATCTGACAAGTGGGAATAATAGCAGTCTTCACCTGTAAGTGCAGCTGTGAGGATTAAAAGAGATGTTGCATAGAGCTGGGAACATAGTAGCTGAAGAAATATAATCAGCTACTTCCCTGTCTCTGAGTGCTTGCCGCCTGCCAGGTGCCAGCCAAAATGCTCGTGACGTGGATCCTCACGGCAGACCGGCGAGGTAGACGATGTTGTCCTACCCATTCTACAGACGAGGAGACTGAGAGCCACAGAGGTTACGTAACTTACCCAAGGGGGTCCAAGGAGTAACTGGCAGGGCTGGGACTACAACCCAGATCTCCTGAATCCCAGGATGAGGCTCTTAAATATTTTGCTCCAAAACCACCCAGAGGTGAGGCAGGTGGAGCGAACCGCTGACTCTCGTGATGGACTCACGTTTCAGCTCGTCTGCACGGCTCAGCCTTGCTCCAAGGAGAGGCTGGGAGGAGGCTCCAGAAAGTGGCCATCCTGTGGATGTGATAAACGGATGAGGCCTGGACAGAGTCCATTAACCGAGGCCCTAATGAGTGTGAGTGGAGCCCCTGTCCCTATCTGTCACGTTTGCTCTCATGATAGATGAGATAACTAGAAATGTCAGTTATCTAACTAGCTGACCTCCTGCCGCTGGGAAAGCTCACCGGGCTGGCGAAGGACACGGAAGCTGCACCTGATGAGCATCGCCAACTGGAAATCAAATGGTGCCAGGGAGTCAGGACATCGCCCCGCTGTGAGGTTGTCTCAACGGGACGGGCAGCTATGACGGCAAAAAAGCATCTACAGTCAGGCCCAGTGAACTTCTTCAGGGCGTTCTTGTGCATTTCACCAGCTCCTTGCTGACAGTTTCCCCAGACAAGTTGGTCAATAAGGGCTCCCATCTTCTGTCCTCTGATTTCTGAAACGCACCCATAGCTCCCACAGCTTCCATCACTGCCTGGGGGCTTGATCAACTCCTGAGAAAGTCAGGCCAAGAGGCAGAGACCCCAGGGCTATTCCAGGACCTAATTACAGTTTTCCAGGGGGAAAATGGAAAGGGCATTGCCCTAAGAGTCCCACCCCCGCCATGCACTGGAACATGGCTTTGGACATTTTGTGCTCCTTCCTGGGCCTCCGTTTTCCTGTCTCTAAACCTAGGGAGATTGGACTAGATCAGACATGGAAATATGAGGCAACCATGCTGTCACCTTTCCCCTACCCATAGCAGACAGAGCTAATCTGTTGCAGTATTCTTTCCCACTGAGCCAGGACTCTGCTTCAGAATCCTTCTTAACACAGAGCTCCAAGCAAGTCCTATCAATCAGAGGCGGCCTGCAAGAGGACACCTGGTTGCCATCCTTGGACTCATTGATCTCCAGGTGCCCCTCAGCTCTCAAGACCTGTCATTCTCCTCGGTGCACACCAGAAGCACTGAAACACTCTATCCCACCTCTCTGATTTCTTTTTTCTAATTTTCCCTGGACTTCTCGTGCCTTGGCTGGGAACTCCGGGCTGTGTTCATGTGGCAGAGGATAGACGGACAGGCAGGAGGAAGAGCTGTCACAGCCTCAGCGGTCAGGTCAGCTGCAGAATCAGGCTTCTGGGAACCAGTCTGGGCAGCTTCTGGCCACTCCTGCTGCGAGTGGCTCTGTGGGTGGCAGCTACCCCAACCACTGTGACTGTCCCCGTGGGTACGGGGATGCCAACACAGAACAGCCTGGAAATTTGAGCTTCTCTGGGCGAGGGTGGTGATCCTGGGGCTAATTCTGAGCCTGCAAACCTGGGGTCCTTTTCTGGCCCAGCCACCCAAAATAGCCTTTTAATGTAACATCTTTTCTACTATACGATTTACACACTAAGGACAGGTTGTAGTGGTAAAGTTGTTCCCAGTGTCTTTGTTGTGCAAGGACTGAATAAATCCTGGAGTTTCCTAATGAAATCACAGAAAAGGAGCCGTGGTGGCTGAAGAATCGTGACTTGGGCAGCTCCTTAAACGCCCTGCATCACAAAACCCAGGTAGCATTGAAAAGGGCACAGCTGCTGTGGCCCCCGGCCTCGGGTAGGAGAATAAAGAAAAGAGAGGACACCTGGAGACAGGTTCTCTGTTGATTTTACCTTCTAGAAAAACACCCAGATAGAAAGCAAAATGTTCTACAAATCTTTTGGACAAGTCTGTACTCAGTTAAGTATCTGACTTTACTTATAAAAGTGAAGACTGTTCAGAAGGTAAAAAGACAATAAATGAACTCATGTTACAGATTTTTAATTTCTCAAGTCACATTTTCTCATCTTACAAACAAAGCAGCACATGGCACAGGCTAGTTCAGTTCCACGTGGCTTTATTGAGCACGCTGGGTGAGTAGGGCGCCGAGCTCGCCCTGTCGGGGCGAATCCTAAGGGGGACATTGTTTTTGCCCTTGGGGAGATTCTGCAGCAACAGCAGAGAGAAAGAACCGGAAGCAAGACGCCTTCCAGTGGAAAGGGATGGAGAACTGTGCCTCTGAGAGGCCCTGAGGGCTCTGTGGGTCTGTTCAAATGTGTCCATCGTGAGAGGAAGGAAGGCTTCCTGTAGGAGGTGGCATTCAAGACAGGCCTTGAGAAGGAAGCAGGAAAGTTTTCAGCTGTGGGGAGAAATAGCATATGCAGAGGTCCAAGCCAAGCCCCTGGCAAGATGCAGGAGGGGTAATCCCGGCTGAAAAGCAGGGGAAAAGCCAAGTAGGAGAGAAGCTCCAGGAACTGGGTCAAGGAAGGCAGTCTGTGCTTGAAGTCTCCATGAGGAGTCGCTGTAGGATGGAGCCAATGGGGCGCCCCCTGAAGGGGCCAAGTAGAGACGCAGCTCCAGCAGAACAGAGCTTTAGGAATCTGGAATGTCAGTTCTCCACCTGGATCAGTGGACGCCCAGCCAGACTGGCCTTTAGAGTTCATCATGCCCACGGGCTTTACTTTGCAGGAGTGGTTGGGGGACCAGAGAGGCTGCCTGGCCTGAGACCACACACCCAGGGCAGTGCCTGGCCTAGAATCCAGAGCTCCAGCCTGCAAGCCCGACACCTGTTCATGAGCTGTCTGATCACAGGCCTTGCAGAGGGTGGAGAACCGCACGAACACGGCAGCTTGTGTCCCTGGGCCTGACGAGGTCCCGAGCTGGAGGCTGGCACTGAGACTGAATCATCTCGGCACCAGGGGTGGGAACCGGGCTTCCCAGTCGGCTTCCCGGCTTCCTGGCCTGACCGGGAATCGACAGTCTGCTGCTGCACTTGGAGCAGTCAATCCTCCTGAACCGCATAGCCGGTTCATCACTTCAAGTGCTTTCTATCACCATCTACCATATCTAATGCTGCGAGGGTAAGACTTCCCCACCGAGGGCTTGATAGAGAGCTGCATGGCCCAATATGGCTACCGAAAATTAAATTTAAATTGAAGAAAATTATACAATACTAGAAATTTTGTTCCTAAGTTGCAAGAGTCACATTCTAAGTGCTCAATGGCCACATGTGGCTAGTGGCTACTGTGCTAGATTGCACAGGGTAGAGCATTTCCATCATTGCAGAGTGGTCTGCTGGACAACACTGGTTTATAGCAGGGGTCAGCTAACCATGCCCCAGCCTGGGGCCCAAAGCCAGCTGCCACGTGTTTTCGTGCATAAAGTTTTACTGGAACACAGTCATGCCCACTCATGCATGTATTGTGTATGTCTGCTCTTTTGCTACAATAGCAAAGTTGAGTACTTGTGACAGGTTGTTTTTTTTTTTTTTTGAGGAAGATTAGCCCTGAGCTAACATCTGCTGCTAATCTTCCTCTTTTTGCTGAGGAAGACTGGCCCTGAGCTAACATCTGTGCCCATCTTCCTCTACTTTATACGTGGGATGCCTGCCACAGCATGGCTTGCCATGCTGTGCGTAGGTCTGCACCCAGGATCTAAACCGGTGAACCCCAGACCGCCGAAGCGGAATATGTGCACTTAACTGCTGCACCACTGAGCTGGCCCCTGTGATGGGTTTTATAGCCTGCAAAGCCTAAAATATTGACTGATCCTTTATAAAGCAAAGTTTGCCAATCCTAGTATAGACTGTCAAAAAGTCGTATGAGGCTCTTTTCTGGAAAGATGCTCACTGGCATCCCCAGGAGTTATTAGCGGGTCCAAAGCATCAGGAGGATTTCACCCAAACACAAGCCTCTCCTGGGAAGGAGCCGGGGAACATGCAGCTGTCAGCACCAGCACCCAGCTTGACGGGGGTGCAGGATGCCCCGCCCCAAGCAGGCACCTTCTCTAGGGTGACTACCCGCCAACAGAGGCGTCTGGGTGGCTGCAAGTCTACCCAGGAAAACCACACACTAGAAGGATCTTACCATTTGCTTTCTTTATTTTTCTCATTCTCCCCAGGTCAGTGAGGCAGCAACATTAAGAAAAAGTGAGACAAATAATCTCGCATGGTAATTCAATAACCCCTTCCGAATCAGTGCTCCACAGATAATTCCAAGAGCTTTCCATCAAATTTAGCTTAATCTGGAAGGTCTGGCATACCACCCACCAAAAATAACTCCCAGGGGGATGTCAGGCCAATTTAGGACTCATTTCCATGACAGGAGGACTGTCTGGAGCAGAGAGAGGGTTGCAGGTCAGCCTCCATGCTCTTCTCAAGTCCTGGCAGGTCCAAGAGGAGCACCAGCTAGACATCTGGTCCCTTGGGAAGGCTGGCGCCTCCTGCTCTGCCCCCCAGGGAGACCCCAGGGCTACTGGACCAGCAGGGACTTTGGGGGCTCTCTGTGGCCCCAGCATGGATGCAGTGAGCCCCAAGGCATGCTGCTGCCCAACAACCACTTTTGCATGATTGCAGCCTTTCTCCCCTTTTAGGATCCTTTCTTGAAAGGGAAACCAGAGGGATTCTAGGGGCCGACTGATGCTCGCTTGCTAACGTCTCTGTTGTGAACAGAGTACAGCAGTTGTCTGCAGCAGCTTGGAATGTCCCAGGGCCAGAGAGGGTGGTTTCCCTTAAAATGCCCATGAGCATCTCAAATGGTGACACTTGTGACAGCCGGGCCCTGGGAATGCTGCAATTTTAGCCGTGCAAATTGCAAATGCAAGGGACCTCTTGCTGTCACGAAAACGGGGGAAGCACAGGTTTCCCTTCCTGCACAGCCAGGAGGCCCTGGACAGGCAACTCCCTGTTTCTCAGACTCTCAGCTTCACTCCTACCAGCCTTTCTCTGCTGCCCTGTCCGAGTTATCTGGATAAACGGGAACAAAGAAAAGAAAATATCCTAAGCCCTCGGGCCCCTCCCTTGGAACCAGCCTTGCAATACAGACATTCTCCTAGGCCTTCTCGAATTACAGAGAAAACAACAGTGAGCGAGTCCTCTACGGAGCTACGACCAGCGTGGTTTAATTTGCAGGGGTCCGGATGTGTCTCGAGCGTTGGGGGTGGGGGTCACCCGCGCTGTCGTCTCTTCCGGCCCCGCAGCTTCAGTCGCCTGGCTGGCAGGCTGACCGGCTGCTTCCCGAACTTCTCCATGATCTCTCTGATCCTGGCCAGGTTGGTTTTGCTGAGCGTGAAGTCGCAGCGTGTGGCCCCCATGTCGTAGCCGACCATGCAGTTCTTGGTGGCCGAGGTGAAACCTTCCGCCTTGGCTGTGACCGCATACTCTCCGGGGTTCAGGAGGCGCCAGTAATCCCCATCGCTGGCTGTGAAAAGCAAGCAGAGGGATTCAGAGCGGCTCTTTTCTAACACAGATGCCACCCGCCCAGTTATTCCAAGACCAACCTCCAGGCCAGAGAGAGACCCAGAGGCAGGCAGGGAGGAATTCGAGCCCCCGCAGATGCAAATTCTTAATGTGTTTTGGAAGCCAAGATGCTTTCCTCTTTGGAAGCCGCCTTAAGGGGTTTAACAGGAAGGGGGTTGGGGTGTAGGCTCCCCACAGCGCTAATACACACGAACAGAGGTGGAGAAACAATCACCAACCCTCCTTCCTCTGTGACAATACACGCCATTCATTATGAACTTGAACTTTCAAACGATACGCCCTTGGCACAGAATGCCATCTTGAAAAGCCATCTGTGCCTGGCTTCCTGGCTTCCCTTGGCACAGCTATAAATACAGAACAGTAATTTTTAAAAGAGGTGGGGCTCCTCACTTCTGAGAAGAGAAGGAAAGAACTCCACGGGATGAGGGCCGGTGACCAGGGAGGAGGCCCTGGGATCGGCACCTGATTCCATGGCCTTCGTTCCATGGCCCAGGGGCCAAGAGAACCTTGGAGCTGCAGGGGCAGTGACACATGGGTGCTGCAAGACTGAGCCCCCGCCTCCCCAGTTTCACCCTTGGTCTGCCCCCAAAAACCACCTAAGGGGACCGTGTCCCACGCTTAGCTCTAGCCTAGCTCCTTGCTGCATACAGCGGGGTTCTAGGCTGAGGCCACCCCTCCCCAGGGGGCTTCAACCGCCTGAGAACCCTTAGACCCCTGACATTAAAGTGGCCAAAGACAGAAAGGGAGACACCAGCGACTCCCACTGAGAATGTGGCACCTGGAAGGACGAGGCAGCCACTGATCCACTGAACAAACAACTCCTGGGTGTCCATCCTGTAACATTCCCTTTTCTCCATGAGTCCTCGGATGCCCAGGGAGGTGCAATGGCCTACACAAGGTCACACAGCAGGGAATTCACTGGTCGTCCAGTGCCCGGTTTGGTTTTCTCTCTTATGACAATCTGAACGTCCTGCCTGGCCTAACGCTTCGGTGCCAGGTAAAGAAGAGGAGAGGCTGGATTTGACGGCGTGCTGGGGAGGCCCGAGTGAGGGGGGCTGTCTGAAAGAGCCCCGATGTCTTCCAAGGGGCGGGCGAACACTCCGCGTGCGTGTGTGTGTGAATACACACCTCCCACATACACATCCGTCACACTTCGAAGCATCACGTTTAAGCCCACACTAGTCTTCATTCATCCGAGCCACCCCAGATGACGCTGTGTGCACGTGACAGCATGAGACGTTATGAAAAACGACACATGTAGGCAGCTGTTTGCCACACGAACAAACGGTCCGCTAACTGGGAAACAGGGATCAATACGAGAGCTCCCGGGACATCACAGCGGGGCGGCCCCTGCTGTTTCTTGGTGCTAAGCCCTGTGTCTCCCTTCGTGAAAACATAGGGTTTTCAATTACATAAAATGCCATTTCATGGCTTTTCAGAAGGCGAGAGTCTTCGTCTCGCCATCAGCTGGCCTCAGCCTCACAGGGCAGCCTCCCCTTGTGACATCTCCGCTCCCATGGCTCCCCGGGCAAACCTGCATGAGCCACCCGCTTCAGCATCCTGCCTGCCCTCCTGCGGGACCGTGCGACCACCTTTTCCCGTCATGATCCCTCATAGGCTCCTTAAGAGTCTGAGTCGTGCTCTTCAGTGCTTCGCAGCGCGTTCCACGCACGCCCTCAATCAATGCTGAGTCGAATGAGCGGGATGGAGAGGAATGTGTGAACATGACATCAAATGCCTTATCAACATTTTACACCAAGTCTCAGCTACCGCAGGTCCCTGCACCCTGCAAACCCCAGAGTGGACTAGCCAAGGCGCCTGCCAAAGGCCGTTCTTCTCGGTGGAGCGCGCCCCCAGCGCACTTGGAGGTCAGTTAGAAACAGCCTGGGAAGGGGCAGGTCTCCCGGAGGGAGGTGCCCAGTGAGCTGAGAGGGGGTGGAAGAGATCCGTGATGAACAAATGCCTATCAGCACTACTGATTCAAACTTACGCTGATGAGAAGGCTTTGTGATTCTCCTCCTAGCAAAAGCCAGAAGGCTCCCCAACCCCCTCCCCAGTCTATCCTCCACGCCTTGGCTGGCATCCTTCTTATCATGTCTTGGCACCTGGGCCTTAAACCTGCCCTTAGGACATGGTCACCTGGGCAACGAAACCCAAAGTCCCTGGGTGGCCCGCACCCTTGAAACGCCAGCTCCTGCCCTTGCCATCCACATCCCACTCCCACATCCCTGTGTCCCATCTCACAGTGGTTCCCTGAATGGGCCACACGCCTCTCACACCTCAGGCAGGGCCTTTGCATATCCTGTTCCTACTGCTGTTCCCCAACTCCTGGGCTGGATCAACTCCCTTTCATGCTTTGAAAACTCAGGCCTTAAGATTCTATTTAAATGGGTAAAGTTTTTTTTTTCTTAATAATGAAACCGACTCTCCATAATTTAAAAGCAGTCTGTTCTGTTCCTATGGCTCTGTTGGATAAGTCTTCAAAGAAAATCCAGATACAACGTACTCATTTGAGACAAGCAGTTGGAGACGGTGTCCTGTCAGCCTGAGGATTCACCCCTTTCAGATAAGGGCTAAATGCTCAAAGCAAAACCCCAACTCAGGTCCTGCTGACCCCTCCCACATCATCACATGCCCCTCCTCCCTTGCCCACCACTCTGCAGCCACACAAGGATTTTTTGTTCCTTAACTCTTGACTCTAAACCTTGCTAATGACTGTTCCCTCTGACTGGAATGCTGTTCCCTGCTCTTCTAAAGGCCAGCTTGCGCTCATCCCTTCAGGGAGGGAACCTTCCTCGGCTCTCTCATCTGTTTCTATATATTACCTGATTTGTTTCTTTCTTGGCTCTGATCATAGTCTGCAATTAAGTTTCTTACTTTCCTTTATAAGTGCTTGTAGGTCTCCTCTACTAGAATGTATGTATGCTCTTCGGGGTCAGAGGCCATACTTGTCTCGTTCACCACACTATCTCTAACCTGGTACATAGTAGGTGCTCAATAAGCTATGTTAAAAGAATGAATGACACTGTCAGGAATTTGTTTAGGGTCACAGAACCAGCATGGGGGGGTGTCGCCTCTGTAATCTGGAAGATTCCATTTCTGTAACACGGAAAGGCCTGACTCTCTCATCTGCCTGGCAGGGCCTGCTCTTCCCTAGAAATTGTCTGCTGGGCTTTCCTCACACTTATCACCAAGGCTCCTGTTCCACCTGCTTCTGCCCCTGACCACCGGGAAAGTCTAGAACCATCCACTTCATGAGACTCGGATGGCGTGTTGGGTGGTCCCCCTGATCAGGTCTGTGTTCAGAGGTCAGCTTCCGTGGAGCCGCAGCGGGAGGTCGACACACAGCCGGCATCGCCTGGCGCCTGCAGACCGAAGGGACAACCCAGGCCCTAACAAATGGCCATTCGTCAGTAGGTCAAGGTAGTGTCCACCAGACTAAGGACACGCATGTGGCGTCCTGAGCCAGGTGTTGGCCGACGTATTTACCTGCATTTAGAAAGCATCATTACTAGTGTCCCTCCCTGTGGAATTCCATTTAATACCCTTGTTTATTTTATGCAAAATCCCTTCTGAAATAAACCTGGTCAGATCACATAAGCCTCAGACAGAAATCAAGGCAAATTCAGAGCCGATGGCGACACTGAAAGACGGCACAACAAATACCACAAGGAGCCAGGCGGAAAGCATGGCACTCATCCCTCATGCGAGCGTGCTTGGAAATTATCTGTAGGGGAAACAGAGGGAGATGCAACTCCCATTAGTTCATCAAAACTGTCTCCTTGATTACAGGGGCCTGAAATTCAGAGCTCAGTAGGCAAAGTACCCCCTGCTGGCTTGTGGGGCCCCGGAGCCTTTTAATCTCCCACTCTGCTTAAAACCCTCACGTTTTCTCACACTGCATACTAGGCGCCAATAGTTCAAGGAACGTTCCAGGCTCTTTCATGAATAAATCTTTTAAAGGAGCTCATTAGCCATGTTTAAAATACAAGTCCTGTGCAGAGCCAGATCAACAGCATCCTTCGTTCAGAATCATCACCAGCACTTTGCATGTATCTGGCCCATTTACTGGTACACAATCTCCATTTGTTGAATTAATGAATGAATAAATGGATGAATGAATGAATCAGTGGATGCGTATGAGGGGCTACTATGTACCAAATGCCATGCTACACAGTGTGAAACCCTGTGGTCAGTGGCTATAAGATCCTCAAGGACAAGTGGTAGTGATGTTTAGAAAATATTGTTGAGCAAAGAAATAGGACAATTACCTGGAAAGAGCACAGTTCAGAGCATTACACAGCAGTCTACTATTTTGTGGCATTTCAGATACATTTCACTCATTTAAACAATAATTGGCCTTCTGTACCAGGCACGTGGGCAGGTAGCCTGGCAGTGAACATGGGGGCCAGGTCTGAACCCCAGCCTCACCCCGTCCTAATGTCCCAGAGCCTCCCCGTCCTCACGGGTCAAATGGGACCATTTGTTGGGAGGATAGAGTCTGTGAACACATGTGAACAGTCTGGGGGGACAAGGCCCCTTCCCCGACTCAGGAGGAACAGCACGGGGACAAGTAAGGGGCACTGAACTTAAAAGTCTCAAGCCTTTGGCTCAAATCCCAGCTCAGTCACTCACTGCGCTCTCTTGGAAACACCATGTCACGTCCACTCACTCATTCAAACTCATTCGTTCATTCAACTATTTATTGAGCACCTACTGAGCGCCAGACAGTGTGCCTGTAACACACTGATGAACAAAACAGTCAAAGGTCCTGCCCTACTAGCGAGGGGGACAGAAACAAACAATATGCACAATAAATGTAGTGTGTTAGAAGGGAGGAACACTTTGGAGAAAGGAGGAAGTGGGGACGGAGAGTGGGATCAGCAGGTGGCAGCGGCAGGTGGACAGCGTTAAATGGGGTGGTCAGGGCGGGCCTCATTGAGACCGTGACATCTCAGCGAAGACCTGAAGGGGACGAGGAAGGAACACAGGGACTGCCGAGGGAAGAAGGTTCAGGTGGCAGGAGCAGCTAGAGCGAGGGCCCCAGCGTGCGGCCTCAGTCCTTGAGGAGGAGCTGGTGGGTGGGGGCAGAAGATGGGGCAGCAGGAAGCATGGGGAGCAATTATCCTGTTTGCCCAGGACTGAGGGCGCTCCTGGGACTTGGGATTTTCAGTTTTAAACGGGGACAGTCCCGGGCAAACTGGGAGAGTCAGTCGCCCTAGGAGGCTGTAGGAGAGGAGGTTTGGGAGGGAACCGGTGGCGCAATCCTATAAGGCTGGGTAGGCACCTTAAGACTTTGGGGCGCCCCTGCAGAGTTCAGGAGAGGAGTGACTTAGCCCAGCTTCCCTGGTACCAAGCTCAGTCTGGCTGTGAGGCAGCGAGGGCAGAAGTGGGAGGAGCCTGTCTGGAGGGTATCATGGTGACCCGGCAGGAGGTGGCAGGCCAGACCAGGGTGGCAGCTGAGGAGGTGAGCAGGGGCTGGATTCTACACCTGCCTCCTGACAGACTGGGCGTGGGGCGCGGGAGGGAAGAACCAAGGCTGAGCCTCCGTTTCCTCCTCTGTACCTCGTGAATCATTCTGGCCGTCGCACGTGTCACAGGTCATAACACACAGGGAGCACAGGAAGAGGACGGACTTGAGCCAGCTTGCCTGGGACCATCTCTATTTTAAGTCTGAATGTCACACATCCTGGGAACCCCCTCAGTCCTGGGCAAATCAGGACATTTGGCCGGCTCAGCACAGTCTAGGCCAACAGGCACGGGTCAGGCTATGTCAAACGCTTGCGGAGTCAGCGTGCTATCTGGTTTCTCCCAGTTGTTCCAGTGTGTCTGAGGGCTGACGAGGTCTTTCTTACGGCAATCACGATTTCCTGTCTCTTGCTCATGAGTCTACTCTCTGCTCCTGGATAGGACCTGTAGTAGGTTGAATGGGGACCCTCTAAAAGATAGGTCCACATCCGACTACCCAGATCCTATGAATGTGACCTTATTTAGCAAAAAGCTCTTTGCAGATGTAATCAAGGATCTCAAGAGGAGATCATCCTGCATTAGCCAGGGAGGCCCTAAATCTACTGACAAGTGTCCTTATGAGAGACAGAAGAGGAGGAGGCCAAGAGAAGTCAGAGGCAGACACTGGAGTGATGGGGTCAAGGAAGCTCAGGAATGCCTGAAGCCACCAGAAGCTGGACGAGCCAAGGCAGGCTCTCCCCGGGGCTCCGGAGAGAGTGTGGCCCTGCTGATACCTTGATTTCAGACTTCAGGCTCCGAATCTGTGAGAGAAGAAATTTCTAGATTTTTAAGCCATCTAATTTGTGGTCATTTGTCACAGCACCCATGCCCAGCTCCCTGCAGCTGACGCCATAGTAAAGAGCATCTGCCCACACAAGGACACAGCGCTCCTCGGTCTCCCTCGGTGTACAAACCCCCGGGTGGGTTTAAATATGGCCATGGACACCCCATCTCTGCCAGAACTCTTGCAGACACTCTGATTTAGCATTCAGCCAGTCCTCTTTCTTCCACAGTCATCTGTCACTGCGTCCTGCTGCAAATATCATCGATCAAGGTCAGGGTCACTGTATCTTCATTTCCCACTGAACACACCAAGTGCCATCTGTGTGGTGACAGTCCTGGGGAAGCCTGGACTTGTCCTATCACTTTCCAATCCGCAAAGAGCAGACACGGTCTTTGTGCAGATCCGCGGAGTGTCTGCAGGCATCTTCCAGCCAGCAGGGCAGCGCTGCCCAGAGCAGGAACGGCACAGGCCGGGAGTCAGGTGCCTGAACCCCAGCCCACTCGCCTCTGAAACCTCCAGGGCGTCACTGACCCTCTCTGAGCTTCTGTTCTTCACCTGAAAAAGGGAAAGAAGGGCCTGCCTCCCTCAAAGGGTTAAAGCGAGAAAAGAAATGAGAGAGAACATCTATGAAACTTTTGCAAACAGATCATGTGGGAAAAGGGCACAGAGAGAAGCGGGCAAGCACAGGTTGAAAACCCCACCGCGCAGGGTCTTCATGAAGTTAGAGGACGCAGCCGACACTTCTGCTCTGAGGACAAAGTCTCCACACTCAACTCAAGATTTCAACCCCAGTGAAACCCTTCCAGAAGCCGACATCTCCTGAAAGGCAGTTTACACACATTCAGTTACCTGTTCGGATGTCGTGGTTAACGCCTTCCACGGAGATCACGGCGTTTGGGATTCCTTTTCCATGTAAATCCCTCACCAGACCTTTGATGCCACGATGAACCTGGTCCGCAACAGAACGAGACACCGGGTGAGCCCGCCGACTGGCCCGACCCGACCCGCCGCCGCCCAGCGCCAGCCTCGGACGGCTCAGAGCCATGTGCAGCTCAGACGCCCACTGGCTCTGCCTGGGTTTGGTGTGCAAACTTTCGTATTCCTTTTGGGTCTATGCTCCAGAAAGTCTTCCACTGGAGTTAAAATATCCCAAAGGCTTAAAAAATGCTAGGATCTGAGAAGGTTAATAGAAAACACATCCACTAAAAATAGAATTTAATTTTTTATAGACATATTTATTTTTGACTCTCCTGGGCTATATAAACTTAAGGACTTAAGAGGCAGAGACAAAAGACAGAGTCCAAGACGTCCCTGTAAGCTACAACTCTGTCTATAGGGCCCTTCCACTGATCAGCTGTGTCATGACACACATCAGCTCAGAACCTTGTGCCTCAGTTTCCCCATTTGTAGAATGATGTGACAATCCAAGGTGACATACTATTGTTTCCAATGACATTCTTTATACATATTACTACGCCTGGGCATTTTATCCACAGGAGGCTCTTTGGTTCAACTGGGATCATCACTTTAGAAGGATTAGTTTGCTATAGTCAAGGTCTTCTATCTTTTCATATATGAAATGAAAAAGAGCCTTCCCTCACAAAATTCCGGGGTGGGGACAGAAAGTGTGCTCACAGTTTCCCAAGAGGGAAGAACAAATGGGGTCCCTTCTGTACTGGGGAAGTACACACTGTGAGCTGCATTGAGCGTCCCAGGACCCTCCCCAGAGCCGACTGGGTTGATGGTCCCAGTGCCGACCTCTGCCACCTGTGTGGAGGGGCAGGTACTGGAAGTGGGCAGTGCAAGCCACCGGCTGAATGCTCCTGCTGCCTTATCCGTGACAACCCACGGAAAGGGCAACCTGCACGCACAGCCTCAGGATCTGATTCTAATGGAGGGAATCACGAGAGTCATGTGACTGAGGTTTGACATCCAGTTTTGTTTATTCCTCTGGTTTCTAGTTAGTCTGTTCCTTAGCGGGCCTTGGATGTTATTCAGGTGGTTTTAGCACCAAACTAGAACCAGTTTACTCAAGCCTACAAGGCAGCTGTGTCTGTGAGAGTGGGAAAGGGAAGGCGTGCGGGGTTCTAGTGTATACAGCAGGCTTCTGCACGAACTCCAAGCAGGACCCGGCGGGCGCTTGTTGGAGTTGCTCCCAGGTAACACCCTGCCACCTGCAGCGATGACTCTTCAGCCTGAGGGCTTTATGGGCCGAACTGTGCCCCGACAAATTCATGTGTTGACGTCCTCACCCCCAGTACCTTAGGATGTAACTGTACTTGGAGAGAGTATCTTTCAAGAGGTGATGGAGTTAAAATGAGGCTCTTAGGGTGGGCCCTGATCCGGCTCACTGGGGTCCTTATAACAAGAGGAGACTAGGACACAGAGCCAGCAGGAATGTGTGCACACAGAGGGGAGGACACAGTGAGGACATAGTGAGACGGCAGCCGTCTGGAAGCCAGGGAGAGAGGCCTCAGCATGAAACCAACCTGCTGACACTGAATCTTGGACTTCTAGCCTCCAGAACCGTAACTTCTATTATTTAAGCCCCAAGTCTGTGTATTTTGCTATGCAGCCCTAGTAGAGTATACAAGGGGCCTGGGCACACTGGCTCGGACATATGTCACCCCCTCCCTACAGAGAGGCATCTGAGAACCCCTTGAACTAGTCTCACCCACCTTGGACCAGTGGGAGCTGTAATATCCACTCAGAGCTCCCTTTCTTGGGTCTAATCAAGTGTTCACGGACAGCGGTCCCTCCCAGCACTGCAGTGGCCGGCCCAGGACAACAGCCAGGTCTGAAGCACCAATTTGGTCTCACCTTTTCAGCCATCAAAAGGGCCTCATTCCTCAGCTAGCCCCCATCACAGCCGTGTGCCCACGCCATACCTGCTCCATGAACACGATTAAGGATTCCCGATTATTCTCCCATTCCTCAGGCAGCTGGCTCTCGTGCGGATATTTATCACAGCCCACGTAGATGGACAGCTCGAAGCAGTTTGTGTGAAGGTAGCTGAAATCATTGAGACCTGCCAAGCCAACCGGACAACACTGTCACTAAACGATGCTCAAGGTGGCACTGGGGAGACAGCAAGAACGGTCAAGGATGTGATTCAGAAGACTTCATCTGAACAAGGACGTGTCAGGTATCTACTGTAGACAAAAATTGCTTAGAGCAAATGTTGGGGGAGGAGATGAGAGGGTGAGGGAGGATGCAGCCAGACTAGTTTATGGGAAAGACGGCATATATAAGAGCATCTTCCACAAATGGAGGCCTGAAAAAAGTGATTTTTAGGTAAAATTCTGTTTATTTTATTAAATTCAGTTTAGCACACTGTTTTTAGAATAAAGGTATCAATAGGGAACAGTATAGATTTTAAGCATTTAAATTTATAGTTACGGTGTTCTCAGCTACAGCTCTATAGCAGTTTTCTACTCTAATTCAGAAAGAGAGCTAGCCACACCACCATTGCCGAGTGCCTAACAGAAGCCAGGACCTGTCCTCAGCCTCCGCATCGGCTGAGCGCAAACCCAGCAGACAGGAGGGCAGCACTGCACAATTTGACAAATAAGAAAACGGAGGCAGAGAACAGTTAAGAAAGCTACCCAGAGTCATGCGTCTGGAAAGAGCCAGAGTCAGGGTTTGAAGCCAGGTGTGGGTGATGCCACGACCTTGCTCTTATCTCCACGCAGAGCGCGGCGCTGGGGCTTCAGGGCCAACGCACTCACCCGCTAAGCCTGAAAGCAGACAACCTCGGCATCCCGACACGAGGACGACAGACGGAAGGCAGCCAGGCTGGCATGGAGTCGGTCCCTGCCTTAGTTTCCTAGGGCTGCTGTTAGGAGTGACCACATGGCGGGTGGTTTAAAACAATAGAAATGGATCCTCCTGTAGTTCTAGAGGCCAGAAGTCCGAACCCCAGGCGTGGCCGTGCTCCCCAGAAAGGCTCTAGGGGAGCCCTTGCCTTGCCTCTCCAGCTCCGCAGGCCCCTGGAGCTCCTTGGCTTGTGGCTGTATCGCTCCCATCTCTGTCTCTGTCTTCATGGGGCCTCCTCTTCTGTGTCTGTGCCCTCTCTTCTATCTCTTCTAAGGACATCTGTCAATGATTTTGAGGCCCATTCAGGTAACACAGGATGACCTCATCTTGAGACCCTTCACTTAATTACACCTGCAAAGACCCATTTTTCCAAAGGTCACATTCATAGGTTCCAGACATCAGGAAGCAGCCATAGACTCTGGAGGGCCACAGTTCAGCCACTATAGCACCCACTGTTTGTGAAACGAATAAATGAATGTTAGGTGGCATAAAGTTCCAGTGGCTCTCTTCCCAACAGTTATTATTGGAGAACAGGGTGATGAGCAAGAACATACCGCAGCCATGCTCCATGTGACCACCAGGACGCACGGGCCCAGGAGAAGGCGCCGCGTGGATTCTGAGAGTCAGGGCACCGGAACGCTGAAGCTGGTGCACCGGGTTTCTCTGTGGGGTCCTCCTGTGCCTCAACCAGCCCGGATCCTCACCCATCCTAACTTCCCTCCCTTCTCAGCTCACCATAAGACTCAAGGATGCATTCCTCAGCATAAATGTCAGCTTAAAAATCATGGCTTTGGGTGTCCAGAGCGATTCTGTATCAATCTGCTGCCTAACCACTAAAGTCACAGGCAAAATGGTGCAAAACATATCGCCAGTCTCTACCAGATTCCAAATTCGAACCATCCACAAGTCATCAGCCACATTTGTGATGAAACAAGAATGGTGAGAGCAGAGCAATAAAAGAGGGGGGACAGCATCAAGCTAATGGAAAAACCGTTGGCAGGGGCCTGGTTTGGTTGAAGAAGGTTGATCAAAACTCCAGGTCAACTCATGCAGTTGAACTCAAAGGCTGGAATTACAGAGAGCACAGAAGGCCGCCGGACAACACTTCCACCGCTCAGCACGGGCAGGACACCCGGGGGGCCTGGGCTCCTCTAGGCACTAACACTGTCATTATTGTCAACTTTTTAGGCCTTGTTAGTACTGAAATAAGTAAATTGATATTTAAAAACTCTGGAGTAGGCCTGCCATTTTGCAATGTGTCTTCAAAGCACTAGCAGCACTAGAAAAATTGGCAAAATGATGAGAAACCGCGAGTACGGTGGAAAAGCTTGGGCCAGGCTCTCTTGGGACGTCCAGCCCTTCAGCGAATGTCGTGTAGCTGAGAATACTTTGTAAAGAACGGCTTCAAAAGCGAAACATGTGGGTGAGGAGCTGTGGTGTGACCCAGATAGTTCTGCACAAGGCTTCGTCCCGGCTGGGGATGGCAAGACATCCCTCTGTGCTCTCCCTTTGCCCGGAATCCTGCTCTTGTCACAAGCTGCAATGTGGAACACAGAGCTGTGCTTTCCTTGAAGCTCTGTGCCTGGTGCCATCAGCACATCTGCCTCCATTGTCGGGGAGAGGACGCAGGATCGCAGCCACAAACAAAGAGATCTAACATCACTTTGGAGTTAAAACGCACACGCTACAAACGATGTGCATTTTGAGACTGATTGCACTGCGCACTTAACCGCCCCAGTCTCCATTAACTAATGCCTGTCGGTGCGCTGTTAATGAGCAAGCAAGAAAGGAACAAAAAGACGGAGAGGAGGGGTAGGGGGAGGGAAGGAAATTAGAAATCGCATTTCATCAGTCTACAAAGAAACGAAACTGCAGACTTCATCACACCTCCAGGAGAAGGAAGGATTAAAAAGACTCCAGCCACCACGTGGCTCTGCCACAGAAGTCTCTGAAATAATGGAAAATATAATTGATAGAGAAAAATCAAATGCTGCCCACGTGACTACGCAGCCGTCAACTGTTCAAAATGTTACGATTGACCCAACCCTGACAAATCCAGCTGTGTCCATACCCAATTTAGTCACGGCAGCCATAAGACATCAACCGATATTTCTCATACAGATTAGTGCAGGCTTTTAGGGCTTGAACTGAAAAGCAAGAATGCTTTTTGGCCATTAGGAAATTTTCTTGATAGAGAGGGATTTGCTTTTCCTTTAAATTTGTACAGAGCAAAAGCATGATGGAGATAAATAAAACACTTCTCTCCTTGGTACGGATCCAAGAAAAAGATGGCAAGCTTTCTGCTCATGTTTCACGGGAACAAATACGTCTACTACTTTTTTATTTCTCTTTTCCCAAGGGTGGAAACATATCTGAAAAGCCTGTGGAGGCTGAATCCCTAGCAAAGAAAATTAATATTAAATTTAATATTAAAGTTAATTAGTACAGTGAAATGGAGAATAAGAATATGCTCATAAAGAGGTTTCATGGTGAGCATGATACTGGGGGAGGGGAGAAGGTAGGGAATGGGAAGTTATCATAATTGAGTGTTTCCCATAAGCTAGACGCAGAAGACAGCGACACCTGTCACCTATGTCATCCTCACAGTAGTCCTCAAGGCAGCATCATCACCATCATCATCGTCGTCGTCATTGTCATCATAACCATCACGCCCATTTTACAAACGGAAAACATGGGGATTCAGAGAGGTAAAGTAACCTGCCCAGGGTCACACGGCATCTAAATGATGAAACAGAATTTGAACTCAGGTCTATGTGACACGGGATACTTTTCAAATTCATCAGTGGTTGGACCAACCCTCACAAAGTCAAGAAAATAAGCAACGGGCCTTATGTTTGGGGTTTTGCCATCCCAATACGGAGGGACCTTAGGGAACATGACATCCTTATCCCTCCTCATGTGGAGGCCCTAGGCCAAGAGGACCCCGACACAGGAAACAAAGTGCTTATCCTGAAACTTGGGCCACAGGGTCCCCTATGGCTGCTGAGAGGAATTCCTGAAGTCTCTACTGGAAGCCTCTCTGGTCCTGTGTGGATGTGCGGAGCAAAGCCACATATTCCCTGCATCGCACACAGTTGGGCATCGACCAGACGCTCAGGTATGATGGGGAGGCCACCCACAGACGGCCAGTGGATGAGAGATGTGTGAAACGGTCTTCACTATGGGCCTCAGGACACACCTGCCGCTAGGAGTCTTTTCACACCTGAGCAGGGATCAATGCCGAGCTCTCTCTGTGGGCTCAGAGAATGGGACGTCCCCCACAATGGGACCAACTCTGGGTGAAAGCTGTGGCTCCAGCATCAGGACCAGCATGCTCTCCCCAATTTGCTGAGTTTGCTTTTTTGGTCCAATATTTCCCCTAAGTCTATGTTTAACCATCTCTGACCCTAACTGGAGTAGCTCAATGGCTAAGAGCAGACCAGAGAGACACACAGACCCCAGCTCTGCCTCTTTCTCGCTCGGGCAGATCCCTTCCAGTCCCCAAGCCCCAGTGATTTCATTCATAAAACAGGGAGTAAGCCACACCCCCTCAAAGACTGTAGTAAGGACTAACGGGGAATCTATGGAGAGGGCTGGCACCTTGCACATAGTTAACTGCAGTAGTTATGATGCTGATGGGAATGATGAAAAGTGGGTTGAGAGGAGATGGGCCGCAGGGTCCCGCCCAGTCCCAGCAGTCCGTTATCGTTTGGCCCCATGACGACAGCAGGACAATCAGAGACTTACTTCCGGCCACAGTGTGCCAGGAAGCCCCATTGACAGTCCCGTCCTCCTTCTGGAAGTCTTCCGTGTGGCACACTCTCCTCCTGGCGTCCGTCATGAGGCGGTGCGTGGAGGCGTAGGAGTAGGCCAGCCAGCGGAACACGTGGTCGTCAGGCGTGGGGGTGTGCTCCTGCGTCTTCCACAGGGACCTCACCATGTCGTAGGGGTATGCCACCACCAGCTCGCCTCCCTGCAGGTTGCCGCCCAGCACGAAGGGGATTTTTTCCATCCAGGCTATGACTGCCCTGGTCTCCACCGCCACCTGTGAGCATTGCAAATTTAAACACGCTTTCATAAATAAATTAAGAAGGAAACTGCTTTCTCTCCCTGGCTTTCCAAACAGGGACGTATTTGGAAAAGCAATAATTTTATGGAATAATCTTAGCAAAATTTAGAATTTCAAAATCTGCCCTGGGAAAACTGGACTTTGTGGAAATAATGGATTAAAAAAAAGAGAAATCCAGGGAAGTTTCCTCTTGTTGGAATATTCCGGTTAATGCATAAAGAGGGAACGATAGAATCAGAGTATCAGGACTCGGCAACTCCAGGGAATTAATGAGTCAAGCATGTTCACTGATGGCTACAAAGGGCACAGAAAGAGACGTAACCAAACGCGTCTCTCCTGATGGAAAAATACACGCCTAAAAAAACCAACCCTGAATCTAACCAACCCTTCAGGCCAGAGGCCGGCAGACTCTTTCTGCAAAGAGCCAAATAGTAAATATTTTAGGCTTGGAGGGCCACACAGTCTCTGTTGCCAACTATTCAACTCTGCCGCGGTAGCAGGGCAGCACCACAGACCATCTGCAGATGAAGGAGCAAGGCAGCGCCCCAACGAAACGCCATTTACAAAAACAGGACTGGGCGGGACGGGGCACAAAGGCTGCAGTTCGCCAACCCTCGTCCTATCTAGGCCACGCGGGTCTGAGTCTTACGGCGCCAATTTACAGGAAACACAGGAATACGTTACATGATGTCACAAGAATAGCAATTAGCAGCGCCCAGACAATCTAGCTGTTTATAACCCGGTTGTTACAAGATAAACAGCAACAAAATTCCAAAGCAAAAAGGAAGTGAGGAGAAATCTACAGTTTAAAGCATACTTAAAAGACCAATCGAAAACCAATCGAAATGAATGGGCTTTAGGTGGATCTTGATTTAAACAAACTTTGAGAGAAAGAGAGACTGAGAATGAAAATAGGGAGATATAAACACGCACTGGATATTTTATAATATTAAGAAATAATTTATTTTGATATGATAATGGCAATAATTTAAAAGAGAGCCCAATCTTTTAGAGATACTTACTGAAACATTTACAAATGAAATACTATGATGCCTGGGATTTGCTTCAATAAGCTTGAGGGGAGGAGAAAGTGGGTGAAGATGTAGATGAAGCGAGAATTGATAAGTATTGAAGTTGAGATGGGTATGTAGGAGTCCTTCACAGCTTTCTCTCTAATTTTGTACGCTTGACATTTTTTTAATGATAAAAAATTAAGAAAAACAAGAAAGGAAGAAAACTGACAATGTTGGAAGCTAGAATTGGAGAGCTTGATATGGTCAAATACTGATCAATGAATCAAATATTTATCATAAATTGCTAAGCCCTATGAAGTTAATTCCGGTAGAATAAAATTGAAAAGAGAAAGAAAGAAACATTGGAAATGGTTTAACTGTGCAGTATAGAAAATTGATTAAGGAATGAAATTGACTTCATAGGATCCATTAAGTTCTGTTTTTACTGTATTTCTAAACACATCGGGGACCCCGGATGGGATTAATCCTAGAACTCGATTCTTTATGCAGTATCATTATTGGTCCATGCTTGGTCCTCCTCCTTTATATATTTTGATATGATGAACACCTGTCAACCCACCATCCCACCCAAGAACCAGATCTTACTGACAATTTCTGTGTAACCACTATATATAGGATATAGTATATTTTTATATTATATAGTATATTTATATAGTATATAGTATATATTTAGGATATAGTAACCACTATATCCTAAATGGTACAATTCTCATTCTCTCTCTGTTTCATCCCATATGTGTATGCCTAAAAATGTATTCTTTGGTTTCACTTGCTTGGGGGTGGGGGGCAACCATCCTGATGTTGTCTTCTACAACTTATTTTTTCTTCAGTTTCATGTTTCTAAGATGCTTCTGTGTTCTTACAAAAAACTATAGTTCAGTCTTTTTCACTTCAATACAATGATCTCAGCATTTAATTGATCTCTTCTTGTGATGATGGACATATAGGTAATTTTCAATTTTTTTGCTATACTGAACACTGTTGCTTTGGCAGTTCTTGTCCTGTCTCTGGTACACACGTGCTGAAATTTATCTTGCATAAATCACCAGAAGAGGAATTGCAGAGTCACAGCATATATACATATTCCACTTTACAAGATAATCAGGTTATTTTCCAAAGTCATTGTGCTGATTTATATTCTCACCCACACTGTGTAAGACGTCACTGTCCCATATCCTCTCCAACACTTGGGTACCGTCAGACTTCTTAATGTTGCCAGTCAATGGGTGTAAACGTTCTCTTCTCTGCATGTCCTTAGTACTAGTAACGCTGAACATCTTTTCATGCTTATTAGCCATATGTTTCCTCCTCCGTGAATTGCCTTTTCATATCTTTTACCCATTTTTCTACTGAGTTGTTTATATTTTTATTATTATTCATATATTTTAAAATTCAAATTATGTAGTTTTCAAATAATGTCTCTCAGTTTTTAGCTTCTCTCATTAAGGCTTCTAAATCTTCTGATGAACAGACTTTCTTATTTTGATGTAATTGAATTTATTAACCTTTTCTTTCATGATTAATACCATTTAAAATAGCCTTCCGCACCCTGAAACTAATCATCTATATAACAAAGTTTCACTAAGAGATTTCATTGTGAAAGATTGTTAAATTTTATCAAATGCTTCTTTCTGTGGATGAATTGCTTCATATTTTTTCTTTGTTTTCTATCATTTCATTGATCTCTGCCGTTACTTTTTAATCACAATCTTTCTACATTTTGGGGGTTTCTTCTGTGATTCCATTGCTAGCTTCTTAAATTAGCTAATTTTCAGCCTTTCTTCTTTTGGAATATAATCATTTAAAGGTATAAATTCTCAGAAGCACTATTTTTTGCTATACTCCACAAATTTTGATGCGTAACGTTTCCATTATCACTGAGTTCTAATTATTTTTTTAATTACCGGTATGATCTTTCCCTTTGACCCATTAATTAGAAGTTTTGATTTTTAATTTTCTAAATACATGGTGATGTTCTTATGAATCTTATTACTATCTTCAAGTCTGACCATATGGTGGTGAGAGAATTACGATCTGCCTGACTCCTATTCTCTGAAATTTGTTGACGTTTTCTTTACAGCCCAGAGCATCATCAAGTTTTGAAAGTGCTCCAGAAATTATTCAGAAGAATATGTACTCTCTAACATTGGTGGTACAATTCTTATAGATCTCTTATGTCAGGCCTGTTAATTGCTATTAAAATCTTTCTCTTTGCTGATTTCTTATCTGTCTAAGCTATCCCTAACTAAGAAGGGTATTGGTGATGGTAGATTTGTGTAATTCTCCCTGTATTTCTCAAGAATAAGAAGCTCAAAAAACTAAATTCTAGTCTTAAAGTAAAGATTGAAATCCAAGGACGGTGTATGACTGTGCTAAAATAATTACTTATCTCTTATAGCCTAGGGTTAAGAAGTTCTAAGAATCATATTCCAACTTTGGTCCAAGAGTTCCCAAATTATAACAGCACCTGAATTCTCTGCTTTGCTAGATGTCATTAGTACATCCGTTTGAGAGAGAGGGGGATTTTATAGGATGGAATTAGGAAACAGGAGAAAAGATTCAGAAGACTCAGAGGCCCTTGAATCTTCTACCCCGTGTAAGCAGCCCATGGGCATCCTAACCAAACCACATTGTTTTCCCACTGTCTGTCTCCATCACTTGACTGGTTGCTTCTTGAGGGCCTGGATAAAACCATCCTATGAATCACTAAATGAGGCAACCACGCTGGCCCTCCTTCAGTAAGTGATACCCACGTGTGCTGCGGGCTGGAGCCACGAGGCAGAGCCAGAGAGCTGCTGTCCTCTATCCATTCATCCATTCTCTCTCCATTCCTCAGGAAGAGGAGCCATTTTTTTTTTTTTTTTTTTAAGTTTTTGAGCTTGCAATGTACTTGCCTAAAATACAGCATTTCCCAACCTTCCATGCAGTGGTTGACATCAGCTTTTGACTAAATTCTGGCCAATGACATTTAAGCAGAAGTATTATGTAGGAATTCTGGGAATGAATTCTTAAAAGAAACTGAATTATGTGAAAGGAGAACCTTTTATGTTTTTAACCCATTCTCTCCTCTTCCTTCACAGACATGACAACCAGAGCACCCATTGCCATCTTGGATTATGAACCTGAGGATGAAAGTCACATGCTAACATGGTGGACACAGAAAGAGGAGTCCCGGGTCCCTGATGATCACGGGGCTTCTATTTGGCGCGCCCTGTATCATCTGCCTCCAGGGTCTTTTTTATATGAAAAAAGAAATAAATTTCTACCTTGTTAAGCCATTGTTATTTTGGTTTTCCTGTCGTTGCTGCTGAACCTAATCCCTCACTTACATAGAATTCAAGGCAGACCTCTTGAAGGACATATGTGATCAAAGACTAGGGGTAAAGAGGTGGATTACTATGGGCAGAGCAGGCTTGGAAAATTTATTTCTTCTATAACCTATTCTTTGTGAAACAAGACCTAAGAAATTTAAGAGAAACATTTCTCATCCAATTGCATTTTTCTTTCTGGAAGCACCACATGTAATAAATCCATGAGGACTTATTAAAATAAAAATAAGATATCGCAAGCAGTCAGTTAGGGCTAAGGACAATTTCATAGCAGGATAATTGCCAAAGATGAGGGTAGTGATGATAGGAATAAACATGCACAATTTAGGAGAAGTTTCTTTGTTTTTGGAGCACTGTGTGGTTGTAAAGAAATAAAATAAAATGATTTCTCTTCTATGGAGAATCTCCTCAAATATCAATTTAAAAGGTAGTTATTATCTAGCATACTTCCCTACCTTTGGAGAAAACATGAAAGAAAAAATGGTTTTGTCTTGTTCTTAAATGTCACATTCTCTGCAAATACCAAAGGGGGTTCACTTTGGCCTTTCGCTGCTCTATAGATTATGGAGTATTTTCACTCACCGTGGCATTCTCAGACAGAAACCACTCAGGGATTGCAATATAGTGATTGGGAACTTTCCGTGGACTGTTCGGTCGGTCCTCGGCCTCCCAGAGCAGCGTGTTTAAGTCAGGAAAGTTGTTGTTGATGTCAATCCCATCATGGGTCCAGCGTCCCAGGGACCAGCCTCCCAGCTCTGAGCCCTGGGAGACAATTCAGAACGTGAGGAACTCACAGACTTCTTGACAGTGCTGCCTCTCACACACAAACCACTTCCATCTGCATCTCCATCTCCACCTGGTGTGTGTCTCTAAGCCTCTATACATCCTCAGTCCCAAAGATGACATCCAAAGGAGAATATCGAAACATGTGCTATTAATATTTGGTGAGCGATGGATAACACAGCCAAATCACTCAGAGAGAATGCAGAGAGTCCCTCCCACTACGTGGTGGTGCTCGGAAAGTATTAGGTCCCTTCTTCCCCTCTTCCCGCATCTCTTCTACACTGGGTGGATGAAACCCCGAGTAGTAATGAGCCTAAGACTCCATCATTGCAAAACTGGCGGCCACCATATGCACACATTCTCCATGCCCTGCCCATCATTCTGGCTCACTATAGCACTGCAGACCCGTAACCAACTCTTTGCACCAATAAACACAACCAAAATTCTGTGTCATCAAGTTTGCATTTGAAAAGTATCATTGTTTTTAAGTATATTTTTCCATTTTATTCCCAGATATTGTGATGTACAATTATGGATACACCACACAACATAATATTTAACTATACTCTATACATAAGTTTATACAGATGTATCTTCTATACACACCTGTAACCTATACAAATTCTATGTCATAATTAGAATATGAAATATGAACAATATATCAGAATAATAAAACAACTCTTCTTAGAGGACTGATGAGAGATATGAATAATAATCAAGGTTAGTGCATGCCTTGATTAAGTGCTAATCAATGTCAGGTGTATTATTATTCGAGTCTATTATTATCATCGTATATATAAAACAATGTTATTATTCACTTCCACATTCTCCAGTCTGTTGGCATGGCCACCTCTCAGGGTCCCCATAATTCTCAACTCCTGCTTGGCATCTTTTGTAAACCTTATGGGCTTCCCTGCCTCAGCAGAGATGCTCAGAAAGAAAGCTTGTACTGAGGAATTCACAACCACCCATGGCGGAGCACGCTCTGCAGTCAGCGCTGCCGCCCTGGGCAAGAGAAGTGGCGCCTTTACCCCTTCGTAGGCCTTCTCGTAGCCGTCGGGGTTGAGGGAGGGGAGGATGTGAATCCGGGTCTCCTCCACCAGAAAGACGATGCGCGGGTTCCGGGCCAAGTACTCCTGGCACAGGAAGTGCACCAGCAGCAGCAGCAGCTCCCGGCCCAGCACCTCGTTGCCATGGGCCCCTGCGATGTAGTGGAACTCAGGCTCACCTTTACTCAAAGGGGGAGAAACACAGGTTCATATTGGAAGCTTCTAGCAAAACAGCCCTGATCACATTATGTTAGGGGAAAAAAAAAATCTCTGAATAATATAAACTTACAATTTTAGCCCTATCTATTCTTTCAAATAAACCTCCAAAATTATATCAGTACTATTTTCCTTTCATTCCCAAATAGTCAGGTACATAAGAAAATGCATAGAAAAATCTTAAATGATACCAGACACAGAGTAATAATGTTTATTCTTATTGAGCAAGAATAGATAAAACTACACAGTGCTTAGGGTTTAAAACATACAAATTAAACACAAGCGATGACAATTATTTTTCTCTTTTGGGAGGCAATTATTTTTCTTAAAAGAACTTCCCATTATGTTACAAGGACACATAGATGAATCAGTACAAGCAGAAAATCATCCAGCAGAGCAAATCAGCAATGACACGATTTTGTAAAGGGAGCTGTCTTTGAGCTTTTTCCCTTCAAAGTTCAGCTTTTTTTTTTTTAAAGATTGGCACCTAAACCAACAACTGTTGCCATCTTTTTTTTTCTGTTTTTTCTCCCCAAATCCCCCCCATACATAGTTGTGTATTTTTCAGGTGTGGGTCCTTCTAGTTGTGGCATGTGGGACGCTGCCTCAGCATGGCTTAATGAGTGGTGCCATGTCTGCGCCCAGGATCTGAACCGGTGAAACCCTGGGCCACTGACGCAGAGCGCGTGAACTTAACCACTCGGCCACAGGGCCGGCCCCAAAGCTCAGCTTTTTTAGTGTTGGGACTTATCAGTGCTAGGCACGAGCTGCCAACACTTCTCCTTCCCCACTGGCCAAGCTACTGCTTTCAAGAAAATGCGATTTTACCAGGAGATAAAGCTCTTACCCTTGAAAGGATACTCCTAGAGGAATTCCTGAAAAACTGATTGATATTAGAGTCAAATGAATTAGACAAATCTCACACTTAAATGTCGATGGATTTCTAAAGGTCTCACAGATTTACCACAAAGAAAAACCAGAGAAGGCCCTCTGACTTGGAGCAGGACACAAGTCTAGGAGCAACTGAAAGGGAAAAGGCTGAAAAGAGGAAATGCTTGAAAAGAGGATTGAAATTAAACAGAGGGGACCTCTCTAACTTGAGCCACTAGTGACCAGGGAGTCCAGAATCTTCTCCGGCCACTTTCTTCTTTGGTTCGTGTGACTGGTCTTAGAGCTGGAGAAGAGAATTAAATATGGTCCATTTGGAGGAAAGAAGGGTATTTCTAGCTTAAACAAGTCAACAGCTCGTGTCATAAGAGGGTCACAGAACCAAAATCTGCAGAATCTATGTATGTGAGAGCAAGGCACAGATGGCTCCTGCCCTGCTTCATGAATGTTCTCACGGGGATGAACCATCTCCGAGCTCTTTAAGAAGGCTCCGAATGTGACGGGACAGGGGCACCACGGGGGGGCAGCCTCACCGACTTCGTGTTCCCCGGGATGGTCGGAGATCTCCACGGCATACAGCTTCAGGCCCTGGTGGCTCTTGCCAATGTTGTAAATTCTAGTGATATTGGGACACATTTCATTCACAACCTTCATCAACTGAAAAACAAAATGGATTTAAGGCTCTAAGCAATGATGGCCATGCACTACAGGGGGCAGAGTGCCCAAGAAGACAACTGCTGCTGCTGCCGTTCCACAGCCGCCCTGCATGCCCCCACCCTCCCCACACACCAGTGCTATCCCCTCTGCCTGGAAGGTTCTCCTTGTGCCTCCTCTGGCCTGATCTCTCAGCACCCCTTGGTTGTGATCATCTCCCTTAGTTGTGTATCACCTCCCTTGGTTGAGATATCACCTCCCTAGGTTGTGATATCACCTCCCTAGGTTGTGGTTATCACCTCCCTTGGTTGTGGTATCACCTCCCTTGGTTGTGGATATCACCTCCCTTGGCTGTGGTATCACCTCCCTAGGTTGTGGTTATCACCTCCCTTGGTTGTGGTATCACCTCCCTTGGTTGTGGTATCACCTCCCTAGGTTGTGGTTATCACCTCCCTAGGTTGTGATTATTACCTCCTTTTCACCGTGGTTTCTGTTTTCTTGTCTCCTCACTAGACTGCAGATCCTTTAAGAAATGGACTGATCCTTTAACTCTATATCCTTCCCTAAAAATATATTTATTACTAAATGTCAATTTCTTCTAAGATTTCATGAGCATCTATGATGTCAGACCGAGGAAGCAGACACTGCTCCCGCCTTCCTGGAGCTTAAAGTGCAGCAACAGACAGGAGTCACAGGATGACCCTCTTCATCGCTGCTAAGGAAGAACACAGAGGGCGCCATGATAATGAGTCGTGCAGCCAGAGGGTGAGGGAAGCAGGCTTCCATGAGGAAGTAGAATAAATACAGGCCGTTTTCTGAATTTTGCTTGTAAAGTCAAGCTAGTCAAACTGACAGCTTCAGTCTGTGAGAATGAGACAGCTGCCAAAGGAGGTAAGGAGGACCCTGGGAGTCGAACCAGCACAAGCTGCCCTTGGAGACAGAGGACAGAGACAACCTCCCAGAGGTGCCTTGCCTCCCATCTCTGAACAAGTCCCTGCGAGTGAGCTGTTAAGTAGCCTGGATTTGCAGGTGAAATGGCTTAGCAATGCCCAAGTGAGAGGAGATCTGATCAAAGGGCGTCTGGCATCTATTCATCCATAGAGGCGCTGCTCAGTCAGGCACCAGACTAGCCACACTCGCGGGGAGGCAGGAGCCGTCATTGGACAATTTCATGACAGCGTGCTAAAGACCAGGAAGGAAGCCCGGGTGCTCCAGAAGCAGCGAGGAAGGACATCCCAGCCAGGGCTGTGGGCAGGGAGGTGCCCATCAGGGAGAGCTTCATCCTTCTGACAGATGAGCGGGAGTGGGTTGTGGCGACTAGAGGAAGGGCATGGTCCCCCAGGGACAGTGTGCATCTGTACTTGCTCTAACCACCTTTCAAAAAATTCTTATCAACCGAGGGGCCAGCCTGGTGGTGCAGGGGTTAAGTTCACACGTTCTGCTTCGGCGGCCCAGGGTTTGCCAGTTCGCATCCCGGGTGCAGTCATGGCACCGCTTGTGAAGCCATGCTGTGGCAGGCATCCCACATATAAAGTGGAGGAGGATGGGCACGGATGTTAGCTCAGGGTCAGTCTTCCTTGGCAAAAAGAGGAGTATTGGCAGCAGATGTTAGCTCAGGGCTAATCTTCCTCAAAAAAAAAAGGAAAAAAAGATTCTTATCAACCAAATTATCCATAAAATGTCCTTGTAAATTGTAAATAAACAAATCTGTTGCAAATTTTATGATGGGTTAAAAAAGCTATGAGAAGCAGAAAATTGGTATTATGAAGAAGTGGTGAGGCAGTGGAGTTACGTTGTGTGTGCTTCATTTGCTTTTCATAACCTAACAGTCTGCAGTGACTAGGCGGACTGCGTTCAAGGAGCAGCAGTGAGCACGTCTAAAGGAACGGAGAGATTTAGTCCCTAGAGCTTTGCTTTTAGGACACAGCTACGAGGCGTTACCGGGGCAGTCTCTGTCAGGGATTCAGGGTCAAATTCCCTCACTGCTCCTGGGGGAAGATGTGCTCCACTTTATGATAACCCGCTTTGCGTTACAGTAAGTGGTGAGAGGAAGATAAAGCTGACTCTTCCCAGGAGGGCAAAAGCAGAAACCCACCCTAAGCAGAGAGACGAGGTGCAGGGAAACGGAGCTTCCACCTCCATCACCACCAGCGACATACGGTGCAGGACTGAAGTGGAGCCACATCTGAGCACCACCACGTTTTAACAAGAGATGCAGTAATCATGTCACTAACAACGTTAACCGCTGCAGTAACAATGCGTTGTATTTCTCTACTGAATTTCACTGTCACGATCACTAGGTGAAGGAGATAAGGCAGAGGTGATTATCCCCATTCTCCAGATATGGAGACTGAGGCTCAGAGAGACACTGACTGATCTGCCCAGGGTCAGACAGCTGGTACCCGGTGGAGCCAAGGCTTCAGACCCTTAGGGCTTTTGCCAGTCCATGAAAGCGCAGCAAAGCGATGAAAACCAGCACATCTCCATGGTCCATTTTGTCTGCTGCACACTGTGACTGTTCTGAAAGGTGGCCACAGCACACTCGCCATCTGATTTGGGGCCCGGGTACCAGCTCCTGTTGACCGCACAGTCATGCTCAGCCACCAGCATCGACCTCAGCAAATCCTGATCAGCAGGTGACCCATCGTCTTCCGTTCACATCAATGACTAGTTTGGCAGACACAGAGCCAGTTGGCTCATCCTTAACTAGGCAATGGAGGCAAGCATTCGGCACAGAACCTGGCTGTCATTTAATGCCTACCCGCCTCTCCCTTTCAATTACCTGCCGGAGGAGTGTGCCACCTATGCTAGAGATCATGACCTTGACGCTGGAAAAAGACAAACAGCATCTTCCCTTGGATGCACCTTAGTCATGGACACAGTCTCTCAGTGTGGGCTGACCCTCAGATGTGAGTCATCAGTCACCTCCTTAAACTACCCTCCATTGTGGTGTTTTCAGACCAACCACATTTTCCTTCCTCTGTGGAGGTATCACAAGCATCTTTTCCACACATAAGATTGAGAACAAGGGCACTTAAAGAATCTCCTTTATGCAGGTTCTTTGCAATCCTCTCTGCACGGTGGCCCTCTGAAATGCCAGGAAGGTTTCCCCAGTGGCCACCAGCACCAGCAGAGACCTGGGTGGTGATCCACCTTGTTCATACCTGAAAAGAGTCAAAGATTTTTTTTGGAGTTTGGGCCTTCGGGGTAAACATTTGCGTCTTGAAGGTTAAAGTGAGAGTAAGGAATAGAATTTTCTTCATGGTCTTAGAGCATGCAATCTCACAGGGGTGATATCACCCGCAAGCAGATGAAAGTTGGGTCTCTGGGGGCTAAAAGTCTTAGATATTGCAATGCTTCGTGGCTCTCCAAAGCTCAGCCCTATCTGACAAAATCTTACTCCTTAATATTTAATATAATGGGGGGAGGGTAATTAACAAAAACGTCTAAATGGCTCCTTGGGATGGCAATAGTGGAAAAAGTTGAGAAATATCACCTTAGAGCGTACCTGGGTTTGCAAGACTCTTAGTGACGTCAAGACTGTTTCCTCATCTCTGAGAGGGGAATAAACTGCCATCTTTGTTTATTTCCTAGAATTCTAGGCTCTGTTGCTTCCCTCCTCTCCCGAAGGAAATAGAAGGAAAAGCCCCCCCTTTCTAGTAATTGAGTTTCTAGCAATATATCAGAGGAACTTTTTCATAGAGATTGCTAAAATTGTATGCATGATGACACTCGCCATAGCATGTTTCAGACTTTCTTGGTATTCATTAAAAGTTGGGAGCTGTCCAAATGCTCCACAGCAGGAAGATAGCTGAGAAAACCATGATGCATCCACTCACTGGAACATTCTGCAGCGTTACAATTACAATTATGAAGACAGCATGTAAGATGGCTAATGACCCGATATTAACTGAAAAAAGCAGGGCAAAGTTGTAACCATCTTCTGAACAAAATCATATGAAATCTCTGAACATAGAAATTCAAACACTGGATAGAAATAGGGAAAAATGAAAATCGCTGGGTTTTGAGGGTAGTGGGTTCACGGAGGATAAAGTTTTAAACTTTTGGTTTGCATTTGATGTTGACACAATAGTTTGTCCAATGAATTAAAAGGCTAAAAAAAAGAAAGAAGAGAAAAGAGAAAAAGTCCATCTTTATTCACTTACCTGGGAAACAGACACTGCATCTGATCAAATGAAAAAGGAATTCTAGAGGGAGGGCAGAGGCAGGGGATCCTGGAAGGAGGCTCCCATGGGTGAGGAGTTGGGCTTGTCTGGATCTGCAGGCTTGCTGCCCTGCCCTGGCTTTCCGCCACCATCACCTACACCCAGGGTCAGGCTGAGCATGAAGCAGGTGGCAGGCTCAGCCACTGCCCCACACAGCCTGATGCCCCAGACCCTCCTATGTTGCCATGGAAACCAATTCCACCAGCTGGCTGCTGTCCAATCCATGTTTCCACTTCTTCCTACTACATCACACTCCACTTATGAGCCAACCAGCCAGAACTTCCTGGGCATTTGGGACCTGAAAACACCATGCCCAACACCAAAGGCAAATTATTCACCTTTTCCTCCAAATCACTTCTTTTCCTCCCTTTGTGGATGGTACCCCACCCCCCTGGAAGCATGTCAGACCCCTTTCTCTCCCCAGCTCACTCCAATTGGTTGCCTAGGACTAACCAATCCACCTCAGAATGCCTCTCCCCTCATCCTTCTTCAGGCCCTGCTGGTCTCTCCCAGGGACTGCTCACCAGTCTACCCTCCACACAACTTCCAGATTGATCTGCCTGAGCTCTGCTCCCAGAAACCCTCCTCTGATTCTCAGATTCAGTACAAAAGCCCCTCCCAGCACTCAGGCAGCCTCCTCTCCCAGCAGACTGCCAACTGTTCAAGAAACATGCTCTGTGCTACCTCCACACCCTTGCTGTTGCTGTCCTTGATGCTCAGAGTGCCCTTCCTTCCGTCTCTGTGCCCAGGGCTGGCCACAGGTCCTAAATGATAGCCAACCCATCTCACCCAAAGCCGTTCCCAACCATGGCCAACCAGGCCGGTCCCTTTCCCTCCTTCTCCCCAAATCTCTCCCCTGCAATGACCTCAAATGTACATACTTATCCAGCACACATTATGGATTTACAATAAAACGACAGAGCCTCTGCCCTCATGGTGCCAGATGAAGGGGACGTACTGCCCACATGGTAAACAGGTGACTAAGCAATTACAAATCGTGACACACGCTCAAAGGCCTTCAGCACTCTGGGAATAATTAACCCACTCTGCCTTCTAATATCAATGTTTGTGCAATTTTCTCCTTCTTCCCCTCCTCCCTTCCCTATCCCAGCCTCCTGGGGCTCCCCCGGCGGGCAGAACAGTAAATCACTACTCTAGAAATATTTCCCGCGCACAAGAGTCACTCGCATTTCCCCTTCCAAAGCAATCAGGGCTTCTATTTTCTCTTCTCTCTTCCTGCTCCTGCTGCTGTTTCTCTTTTTTGTTTGTTTGTTGTAAATGTCTCTTTCAACTCTAGGATAAACTAACATTTGTTTTTTCCTGAAGTAGGAAGATTTCTACAGTAACCTAGCAGACTCCATACGGGGAAGTGCTAAAAGTGCTGGCTTCTTTCCCACCCCCAGGAGCCAGGAATCCAGGCGGCAAATCACTTCCGGCTTGAACACTCTTCACGATTGACAGATGCTCCCCCGGGCAGCTCCCTGTTGAGTGCTGGGGGGCCCTGGGACCTCGGAGGGGTCACCCAGCAGCACCTGCAGGGGCTGCCTTGACCATTCCAAGGCTCCTCTTAGCTCTGACGTCTACCCAGTGACGATGACCAGAGTTCCTCAGGGAATGAAGCACACTCCACCAGCTCTCCTTATATGAGAAGAACTCCATGCGGGACAACTATTTAAAGACACCAGACACCCAAACTCCCTGTGCAGTTAGCTCATTTTAAATGCATTTAGATTTATTGCTTTTGACATTAACCACACCAACTGAGCTGATTTTTGTCTCATTTCTGGGCTCGGAAAGATGTTCAGTGAGCAAAGCTGAGCTAATACACAAGCGCTCCGTAAAATGCAAGAGTGAGCAGAGCCATATAAGCACCCGAGAACGTGGAGCAGCGGGGATGATTCACGACCTCACGTCCAAACTCATTATCCCGATTTCTGAAGAGCAAGACAGCAAGGCAATTTCTTTAGCACGTCCCACCTCCAAGTCTGTGCTGACAGGTGTCTGGAAGCTGAGTGAGTATCTCAAATTAAATGACATCGAGACAAGCCAGGTTTGTTAACTCCGCGGGTGAGGCAGAGAGCCCCCTCGGCTCAGCCTAAGGGAACTGACCTCAGGAATATCCACCTCCTGCAGGTGCACCGGCCACTGGTTCCTTCCCTCGGCACCTTGGAGCCCTTGCTTCGACCACGTTAATTTGGCCCTGAAGAATCCTTGTTCTGTGAAAGTATTCATGAGGACCTTTCTCTGTTCTGTCTCTACAAACAGATTCTCAGATTTCTAAGGATTTCTCATTTGCCAGCACCTCCCTGTCTCCCCAGCACCCCCCTGCTGGGGACAAACCCGGGACAGGGTTTCACAGGCAGTCAGCACCAGGACTGCTCTTCCAGCTTGTCCTAATAAATGTTTGCTCCTTTCTCCCTTCCGCAGCCAGGATGCAAATACTGTCAACAGCTCAGGATGGCTTAGTTTCTCTAATTCAGTCTGGGGACGATCTCACCTGGGATTGTCTTTTCCTCCTAACAGCACCAAAGTACTAACAGCTATAAAGGTCCCGACCACGGTTCTGAAGCCTGGCTGTGCATTAGAATCCCAAGGACAGCTTTTAAAACTTTAGACCCCAGGCCCTTCTAGGGACTCTGCTGTAACTGCCCTGAGGTGGGCTTCAAGTACAGGTGTTTTTTCCAAATTTCCCCAGGTGATTTTAATATGCAACCAAAATCGAGAATCAGAGAATCTGAATACCAAGAGGCAGCATTACATATTCCGTGGGTGACTCGGTTTCCCCATCAGGAAGACAAGGGTAACAACAGTCCCCGCGCTCCTAGGTGGTTAGGAAGACTGACCGCGTCAGTGCAGCTGAATTGCTCACATAGGTAAATTAATGTAGGTCCTCTGTGAGGGCTCCTGCTGTTACTATTATCAGTATCATTCTAGATCTTTTTTCTTCGACTCTGCACGTGACTAACACTCTGAAATCAGGGATATCACTCACACACACAGTGATTCCTGAGAACTAGAGTGTGAAATCAGAGAAGTCTGGGTTCGCACTCTGTGTTAACCATTTGCTGGCGAGGGAGCCTCCTCAGGTCATGCGAACCTCGACGAGGCATCTCACCCTGAAACCACAGGCATTTCGTGTGGCTTTGGCAAACCCAGGTGATCATTCCGACTCTGTCCTGAACACACCATCCTAATTTCTGAAAAGAAACAACCGCGGGCTTCAGGGCACGTGATTCATGGCTCTTGGACAAACCTGGATCTCACCTGGCGCATTTCCTTGTAGTTGTGGTGCTTAAAATCCAGGTCATCGGTCGTGGTCATTTCGTTCCGTCGGTGATAGTAATTATTTGGATCTAGGGACAGAAACACTGTTTTGAATTCACACACATCATTCTATGACTTGTGGCGGCTCTCTTAAGTACCTGATTCACGCGGGAACAGGGCCCAATCTCCAGCTTCTAACATTTGCACAGAGGTGGGAGAGCCAACTTTCGAGAAGCATCTTAGGAGTCAGAACTACCCAGTGGTGAGCACAGGGCTGGACCCAGAATGGCTGGATTCAAATATCCACTCTCCTACTTATCTGCTGTGTGACCTTGGATAGCTCACCAAACAGTCTTTGTCTCAGTTTCTTCACCCACAAACAGGAAAAATACTGGTACTTCCCTCACTTGTTTGTATTAGTTGGGAAAAAAAATCTATGTGCTTGGCAAACTGCCAGCACTACATGAATGAATGAATATCACAACTGCATGCACAAATGGAAATTTCTGGAAGTGTGGTGGACACTATCAGTTGCTTACCCAGCATTCAGTCCCCTTTTATCCTTCCTAACAGAAGCCTTGTGTCTGGGAATCCCCTTTTCTCTACTTCTAGGAAGCTGACCTCATGTCCCTAGCTCCAAGGGTCCAACAGGACTGGTCTAAGCCAACCAGAGCACAGTACCCTCTGCACTCCTACTGGTCTAGACTGAAGGGAAGGACTTTAATGGCCGAGAGGAGGAGTGGGCGAGAACGTCTCCAGAGTAGAGGACAGAGAGAACCCCCATAGCATCAGGAGCTACTAAGTGAACCAACCCTGGATCCCAACCAACCTCCCTTGGGACTTCCAAACACAGGAGATGAAGAATTCCCCAAACCATTAAGCCAGTGGGAGCTAGGGTTTCTGTTGTGGGAGCTGGAGCACCCTAATAGGCATAGTCAGGATGTGCTACAGTGGTGACCTCTGGGGACACGTTTTCAGGGGTCCAGGAGGAGAGGTGTGCTCTTGACTTGATTCTCTTCCATATTAATTGACCTTTTTTTTCTTTAATTCCCATCAGCCTGTATTGTTTGTACAATTACAGAAACAGAGAACACTCAGAGGAAAGGAGAAGACTGGGAGGAGGAAGAGCAGGAAGAAGGAAAAGGGGGAAGGGACCGCTCAGTGGGCCCTGAGGTCTGTCTCCTGACCTGACAAAAGCAGCAAGGCCGTCAGACCCTCAGCCAGCCTCACCATCTCCACCTGAAGGACGCGGCCAGAAGTCCTCGCCAGGTCAGATCTCCCGCCAACGCAGAGAGGACAGGGCGCGTTAGACAGCTCTGTCTCCTAACCCAGCAACCACGTAAGCAAGGTCAGCTGTCGGTTTGGTCCAAGTGGCTCAAAGGGTGATTCTGGAGGCAGTGGCAGTGGCCAGCGATGTTCCCAGAGGCATCAGGAGAAGCAAGTCCTGATTCCTGCCACCAAAAGTGGTCCACAGACCAGCACTTGGGCTGCTTGTTAGACCCAGCCCACACCTACATCACAATCAGAGTCCATATTTTAAGAAAATCCTAGCTGACTCCGTAGGCTTGGAAGTCTGAGAAGCACCGTGCTAAAGTACTGAGCACACTGCCGGCAGGGATGAGGTATTCCGTGCGTGTCACCCACATTTGCAGTCAGCTGAACTAGCTGTGTGTCTGCGTCCCCACAGCCAGAGGTCACGTCAGGAACCTGCCAGGTTCACTAACAGATGGACCTCACCCTTGAGAACCGAAGCCACAGGCAACGAGTTGAAAATCACATATGGACCCAAACACCAAAAAGACAGTTTTCAACATTCACAAGGGTTTGCCGGTAACACGATCAGAAACAAATCTCTGTTGTGGAGGGAAATACTGCGGGAGGGCCAAACGCATTCTGTCCAGGGAAGAAAGACAAGCAGTTCAGGGTTAGCCGAGGCCCCCAGTTACTTTTCTGGCTCTTTCCTTTCGGGAGAGCAGGCTGACCACGCCCTCAGCAAGCACCTTAGCTGTGATTTCCAAACCCGTATGTTTCACATCCGAGGTAAAGGATATTTTTCACATTAATTTACACTTAACTTACCCACACGCTGTTTTCCAATTGCTATTCTCCACCCCCAAGTCCCAGGGGCCTCCTTCCAGAACTCTCTGAAGCCCCCTTTGTCTCCAACACAAGTTAGGCCTTCAAGGCTCTTATAAAGGACTGAAGAAAAACTCAGAACTCGAGGTACAAAAGAGCTCCGTGTCTGGCAACCTACCGCCTTCCTAAAGTCGAGTCAGTCTGCCTAAGGATATGGGTACAAGTTCCAGATCTGTCTCAAAAACACGGGTATTTTTCACAACTTTCAGTCTCACACATTTTGAGCAAATACATTTCCACTTGTCCACTTGTTCTGATTGAGTAAAGTTTTACTGCGAACCTATTAGGAGCCCAGACTGTAGGTAAAGAGATGCCCGAGATGCGAGCCCAGCCCTCCTGGGGCCGAGTCTAGACACAGCCGACTTGTCAGCCAAACTCCCTGCTCCTTCTTCCTTCTGTGGACAAAAGAATCCCATTCTCCCATGGGGAATCTATTCCAGATGGTTCTGATGGAGTTGCTTTGCCCAACACTCACAGGTATGGGCATGTGACCCAGCTCCAGCCAATTAAAACACTCGGTCCTCTGGCCACTGTCACTGGCTCAGAGATGATCCCAGCACTCAAGCGGGGCCAATCAGACGGCTCTCCTCGCAGAGCTACAGGAGGGACACCTCCCTCTGCAGGAGTCACTCAGACGGGAGGACGAGTCCAGTAATGGCCAACCTCCCTGTCTGGGAAATGGGAGTGGGGGACCCTGACTGCGCCAGGAAGGCTCTCAGAGAGTAGACCCCTCCTTGCCTGAAGCCACAGTCAGATCTACCCCTGGAATTTTCACTTATGTAAGCCAAAATTTTCCCCACCTTAGCTACTTTGAGTAGGACTTCTGACACGTCAAACAGAAGTCCTGACTGGTTCAGTCTGCAAGGCCTGTATCCTCACAGACGGAGCTTTGGAGCACCAGTCTCCTGCTTCCTCCCTGTGGTTGGTTTTATACGACGCCCTAGGTTCTAAAAACCAGCTGATTCCTTCTGGAACACCTCGCCTCCAGGGATAGACAAACTGCAGGCAGGGCACACGGAGCCTTTAAACCACTCTCCCCACCTTGCTTCCCTTATTCCACTACTCACAGCCCCGCTTTGCTCGAGCTGGTCTACTGATTATGTCTGTTTTGGGTTCAATCATTTCCCGCCAAAAAAAGATATCCTGGAGTCCTAAGCCCCAGCACCTCAGAATGTGACCTTATTTGGAGAGGGTTTTTACAGAGGGAATCACAGTAAAATGAGATCATGGGAGCGGGCCCTATTTCATTATGACTGGTGTCTAAAAAAGGGGACATGTGAACACAGAGATAAGCCCGCAGGGAGAAGGCCATGTGAAGACGAAGGCGGAGACCGGGGTGAGGCATCTACAAGCCAGGGAACGTCAAAAATTGCTGGTGAACCACCGGAAGCCGGGGAGAGGCACGGAACAGCTTCTCCCTCGCAGCCCTCGGAAGGAACCAGCCCTGTTAACACCTTGATCTCAGATCTCTGGCCTCCAGAATCGTGAGATGATGACTTTCTTTTATTCTAAGCCACCAGCTTTAGGTCCTTTGTTAGGAAGCCCTAGGAATACGCTACACGCCCTGCCCATCCCGCCTAGTCCCTGCTGTGGACGCTCTCCGCGCCCATCCCAAATCAGGCACCAGATCACCACGCAGGGCTGTGTTTATAAGAACAGTAATAATCCCAGACCAAACCCTATTACTGGAAATCCCGAGCTTCTTGGACTGTTCTGCTTTGCTGTTTGCTGCTTTGGGGCTGGGATCTTGCGTGAAAGGAGCAGGTGCTCAGCCGGGAGAAGAAAGCCTTCCTTTGTTGGAGAGGCGGCTCGCCTGTAATCAAGAATCGCTGGACTCATGACTCCTTTGAAATGCTTTACCCAGAAGAGGCAAAGCCACAGAGACAGAGCAGATTAGAGGTTCCCTGGGATGGCAGAGTCGGATCAGGAAATGATTACTCAATGGGCACAGGGCATTTTCATGGGACAATGACCAAGTTCTGAAACTAGACAAAGCTGGTACTTGCACAATCTTGTGAATACACTCAATACCACTGAACTATATGCATGAAAATGATCAGTTGTATGTTATGGGCATCTCACTTCAATTAAAACAAAAAGCATTGGGACCAGCCCAGTGGCATAGTGGTTAAGTTCGCACATTCTGATTCGGCGGCCAGGGTTCACAGGTTCAGATCCCAGGCGTGGCCCTACACTGTTCATCAAGCCATGCTGTGGTGGCATCTCGCATACAAAATATAGTGGAAGATTGGCACAGATGTTAGCTCAGGGATAGTCTTCCTCACCAAAAAAAAAAAGACGCCAGCCTTGAAATGTTCTCTGAGGACTAAGGAAGACTCCAGAAGCACACAGTCATGGCAGATCTTCTTTACCTGCCACAAGTCCAGTCTCTCACCCAAGGAAATGCCCGCCACTATGGCCTGTGACCTCCCTAAGCCCAAACACCCTCGGCACAGACCCTGAGCACAGATGACCTGGTACTATATGCAAACTGAGCACCAAACCCCTTCTGCAAAGAGCTGGCTCCCTGATGAAAAGAAGTCACCTTTGTCTAGGCCCCATCTGATTGCTCTTATAACAGGGTCATTCCAAGAGGAACGGAGGAGAAGTGGGCCCCAGGCAGAGCCCACTTTGATCCTAACTCATTACTCCTGGTGAAAGCATTAAACCCACAGTTCTCTGTGGGCGCAGGCCATCGGTCCTTACGCCCTCACTTCATATAAAAGAAGTTATATGCCTGTTACTGCCTGATGTCTTCCCTCTGCTGCTTGCAGAAGTCCAGAAAACCCTCTGACTTCCTGGCAGATGCTACCTCTCCAGAGAGCCCCAGGGCCAATTTGCAGCCTGACTGACAGAAGAAACTGTCAGGAAAGACAGTTTTCAAGAGTGTTGCTGTTTTAACAGTTTCCCAAGATAATCAACATCGGGCAACTGGACCAAGAAGAGAAATCACACGTTTATTTAAACTCAGTAAGGGTGAGCTGCTTTCCGTCACAGAGGGGACAGGCTGTAGCCACCAAGGCTGCATCCCCCTGAACTCAGAGGGATTCACGGGGCAAAGATGCCCCACATGTCGCTCTCGCTACACTGGGAGAGCTCTGGGAACATCAGCTGTGTCCATCTTATCTCAGAATCCTTGGGCCCTGCCTCAGAACAGGTGCTCTGAAAGCGCTTGATATATGAATGAGTGATGAATGAACGAACAGATAGACAGACATTCCAACCAAGTTATTTAAGAAGGGCTGGTTATGAAAAAATAACACTTTCTAGGGCCCCGGGGACCTCCGAAAGGGGCCCACTTTATGCCACAATGCTATCATCCTAGAACCACGGCAGAATGGAGGGTAGGATGGAGGGAAAAACACGTGGTCAGGATTGAGGCTAATCACGGAACTGTGACATCTTTGGGTCGGTTAGTGTACAAGTTTCCCAGGGCTGCCATAACAAAGTACCACAAAGTAGTGGCTTCAAACAGCAGAAATGCATTCTCTCACAGCTCCGAAGGATGGAGTCTGAGAGCAAGGCGTCAGCAGGGCCAGGCTCCCTCTGAAGGCTGCCAGGGAGGATCCTGCCATGCCTCTGCCAGTTTCTGGTGGTTACCGGCCACCTGGGCTTGTGGCCGCATCACTCTAATCTCTGCCTCTGTCGGCACACAGCCTTCTCCCTGTGTGTCTTGGTGTCTCTGTTTTCTCTTTTCTTAAGGACACCAGTCACTGGATTTAGGGCCCACCCTAAACCAGGGTGATCTCATCTTAACTAATCACATATGCAAGGAGCATATTTCCAAATAAGGTCGCATTCTGAGGTTGCGTGTGCACATGAATTTGGGGGGCACTGTTCTACCCAGCGCAGTCAGTCACGGCACGCCCTGTACAAAGGCCCACCGGGACAGAACCACCCACCTTTCTGAACCGAGCTACTTCTGTACAGTGGTGGGCTTCCTGCCGTGTAGCCAAACCCAGGAAAGGAGTTTGAGATGAGATGGGAGAGAAATCTGTCGTTCCCCGCGTGACCTGCCCTCTCATCCTCAAATCTCAGAGCCCCCTGCACAAGGGGAGACTGGAGAGGTGGGCTGGTTTCTGGTTTCTGGAAAAGTAGAGGTTCAGCTCCATCAGCAAGTCACAAGAGCAGCTGGGTGGCCTGCACCCTATGCAGAGAGGACAAGACAAAACCAGGATGAGAAGAAATGAAACGTCTTCTCTCTCATCCACCCACCGTCCGTGGGGTCTGGTGGCCTTAGAAATGAGTCATCCACAGAACCAAATGGTCAAACCAAGGGAAGTAAAAGAAAGAAGGAGGGAAAGCGGGGAAAATGACATCTGTTCTTCACTCACCACTCGCTGGTGCTCTAAACTGATCATATTTGGGCTTCACAATGTCTAGGTCAAAGTCGCATGTTCATAACAGAAGCTCTGAGCAACATCGGGGCTCAAGCATCGCCATCCCCCACCCCAAAGGTCATTTCCCAAGACCTGGACACAGCCCTGTCACCCTGTGGGGAAATCCCATGCAGAGTTCCTGGGGCCCTTCCAGAACCAGGCAGCACACATTGCAGGGTTGTCTGCAACAGTGAAACTCCTGAAGACCACCCATGCTGTGATTTTGAAGGCGGCAGCCTGTGTCCTAACCTGCATCCTTCTTGATTAAACGGTTATCTTAAGGCTCTCCCCAGCTTCTGGTAAGTATAATCTTTAGTCCAAAATGGACAAGTCCATTCAAATTTGGAGAAGAGGACGTTCTTTTCCTTTTAAAAAATAAACAGTAATAAGATAATTTTTTGAATTTTAAAATTTTTAATTGTGGTAAAACACGCATAACATAAAATTTACCATCTTAACCATTATTGAGCGTATAGTTGAGTAGTATTAAGTATATTCACATTGTCGTGAAATAGCTCTCTAGCACTTCTTCATCCTGCAAAACTGAAACTCTATAACCGTTAAACAACCCTCCCCATTTTCTATTACTTTTGAGGTTTAAAAATCCTACTAATAACCATGACCTAGGGTAACTCATTTCCCAGTTCAAAACTTTCTGGAGACATTATTCATGAAGTCTTAAAAAGAATCACCACCTCCCTCTGCCCCCACCCGAGAGTTCACAGGAAGACAGAAGGACAGAACAAAGAGAGGCAGAAGTGAAGGTAAACGAATTTTTCATAAACAAGAGTTCCGGGAAGGACAGGCTGGGCAGCTGCACTCAGACCACAAGGGAGACCACAAGGTCACGTTGGGTTTGAGAAGCTGAGTTGATTGAGTCATCTCTGCCTTTGGCCTCAACTTGCACAAAGGAATTGTGCTGACAATGGCTCAAGGAGTAAGGTTCACTGATACCCACATGGACTTGGAGGCCCCTGGGTCGCCCCAAGCCCTCAGATGTGACCACCAACAGGTGGCATGCATAAAGACCACCTCCCTTCTGGGCAGACTGCTAAGTAACTTCTAGAAGAAAAACGACCCTATTAAATATTTGGGGTTGGAAAATAGAACCATTCCTAGCCCATACTTGAAACCCACCCAGATTTCACAACATAACTCTGCCTTTGTGAGTGTTTAAATTGCCTCCAGGACCTATCTTCAAACACAGACACACCAAGAATAACTTCACAGGGAAATATTTATTTCATGAGACACTCACAGGCTGCCCTTTGCCCTTTACCAACAACAGATGAATTCCTGCCCGCAGAGAGAAACCATGACCCCAGTCTTTAAAACAAGCAGATGGAGGCTGAGCTAGGTGACACGGGAGAGCGAGCCTCCTGGCCCAGCACAAAGGGGGCCTCGCTTCAGAGGCCCGCCTGCGTCTGCGCCTACAGACCACTGTGCTCAGGAAGGCCCAGCGGGCCTTGGACGGCAGCGGGCGGGGCCCGTGATTGCAATTCCAGGACTCCCCAGCCACAAAAGGAGGCCCAGATCCAAAATCAGGCAGGCCTTCAACACTCCCTCTGGGTCAGCCTTGAAAATGCACACAGCTTTTACAGCAGCAATCCCATCTATCACAACGCAATTTAAGCAATAATCCTATAATTTCAGCAACAATCATAGACACGCACAATGACGTAGAAACAAAGATGCTCATTGTGGGGTTCTTTATAGAATCAAAATATTGGAAACCACAGAATTTCCAACTATAACGGGCAAATTAAAAACATGGGGTTTTGTCCACGGACTAGGATAAAGCCATCCACAAGACAGATGGTCTCTAATAGTTTTTAAATGACATGAAAAAAGTTTTGCAATGTAGTAAGTCCAAATATATCACAAAGACTCTGTCTAGTGTGAGGGGAAGTAGGTAGGTAGATAGACTCATCTTTCTCACCAATACAGAGTGTTTTAAAAGCTCACAGGTGGCAAAGCAAGATCATAGATGGGATCGAGAGGAAAGCAATAAATGACATTAAATGTACTTCGAAAACAAAGTAAAGGTAAACTCATGGTGGGGGGTGATATGGCTACAGAAATAGCATGATGGAGACAGCAACACCTGAGAACTTCAGAGCTGCTGGTACCCTTCCATGGGCAGCAGTAGAGAGGCCTGAATCTCACGCTAGCCTAGAATAGTAAGGCCTCACTGGAAGAGAAGGTACGAGATAGAGGAGCCCAAGGCTGCACTCCTTGCTCCCTATGGCCTGAGTCTGGGTGGACAGGAATGTGGAAGCTCCTACAGGCCCTAATGGAGGGCTTTAGGAATGTTCTAGGGGCCAGCTTCTTTCCCTGGAGATGTCTGGTCAGGATGAAGAGGTTGCCGTCTATTATAGGCTCCATATGAGCACAAATGCATAGGCTCTGAAAGGCCAGACAGAGCCAACCATGAGGAGGATGACACCAGCCTGTCAGGTTCCAGCAAGGATCCACACGGCACATGTGAATTCAAGTCCCCTGCTTCCTGCCACCCTGAGGTCACCCCCAGATACCATCCAGTGAAAACAGGGCAAGGAGAATACAGCCTACAGAAACAGGCATTTACCCAAAGACACAGGCATCCAAGTGAAGCGACTTAAACAGGAAGAGACTATGTAAATGGTCAAGTTTAAAATTAGCTTCTACCCCTTCCTCTACCCACTGTAGTGGGAGCACTCAAGGACAATTAAATGTGTCACCAAAAAATTTTCATGTAATTTCTTTGCTCACTCTCAGTGGCAGTGTTGGGTGAATTTTCAACCTTGAAACCTGCATCACTGGAAAATCCCAGTAGGCAAAACCACACTTGGCATGTTACTCGATAGCCCAAATGTTCACAGTGTTTCTGGGTGGGATTATGGGAGATTTTTATTTATTTTCTTTTCTTCTCACCTATGTTTTCTAAATGTTCTACAATAGACATGGTATTTTTTTTTTTACATGAGTAAAAGATTGCTTGGTTTATTTTTATTCGCCTTGGCTAGGCACCTGTTCTCCACCAGCACTCCTACCCTGCAGGAAGAACAGAAGGGCAAACTCACCTGGTAAAGGACAGCCAAGGATCTCCATCCTCATGCAGATGCTTCCGTTCTCGAACCAGGACTGCGGGTTGATGCGAATGTAGCGGGCCACGACGGGCACGGGCAGCTCGTTGAGAACAGGGATCTCCTTTTCACTGTTTCCTTCAAATATCTATTTACGCACAAGGGGAACAAAAGAGAATCTTTTAGAGCTTGACTATCCAGGGATAAGAGTCAGTAATTCGCTCATCCCCAAGATGTTACTGAGGAACCCCTAATGCATGCTGGGCATTGAGGGGGCAAAAGAAATGACTCAGGCCTGGCCCCTGCCCTCAGGAAGCCCCCATCCTATGGGAGGCAGGAGGAGGAGGAGGGAACTACTTAGATATCAGAGGTGAAATCTGTTAGTGCCATGGCAAAGAGACAGCCACAAAGCTCTGGGATTTCAGAAGGAAAGGACCAGGCAGAGCTTCGGGGAGGAGGTACCATTTGAATTGGCTTTGAAGGCAAACAATTTAGTTCTGTAAGGATGGGAGGGATTCTGGAGAAAAGGAATAGCAATGGATGGAGAAGCCCAGCGATGGGATTCAGAGGGAGAAGAGCAACTGGCTCACTTTAACTCGAACACAGGAGTGTGGGGGGGTGGGGGGGAGAATGAGAAAGAAGGTTGAAAACAGAGACTGCAGTCAGACTGCGTGAGACACTGGGGACCATGTTAGGAACACGCAGTTGAGAACCTGAGGAAGACAGTGACGTAACCAGAACGGGCCAACCTGGAGGGAGTCACAGAGCTGAAAGATCGAGGTCATTAAAGAAAGTTGGGGGCTTTTGTAACTGAATAGCTGTGAGGGCCCAGCACACACCATGTGCCGCGGATCTTCCAGGCTGACCTGAGAGTTGTGGAAGAGACTGCAGCTCAGCAGCTCTGAATTTTACATTAGCCCTAAACACGGGCCGCTTGAGCTTCAGGGCATGGAAGCGGTGGCCATTATCCACCAGACTCTGTGGCTGGTTTGAGTTACCACAGAATCAGTAAACTCCAGGTGCAGACACTGCCCGGGCACACATTGCCTCCCTTTGCAGAGCCCCACAGAGCCAGGCACCGAGGTTAGAGGGAAGAGACTCACCATGTCCCCAGATCCATTCTTCACAGTGGCCCATGTGTGGCTGTCATTGCTCACCATAACCTTATAGGAGGTCACCCAGTCACTCCTAAGAGAAAATAAAATGTCATTGGGACCACACACTTTAAAAGGTTTACCTTTTCCACGTGGAGGTATAGCAGTAAGGAGAGTGGGCGCCAGAGGTAGACAGCACTGGGTCACACCGTGGCCCCACTGCTCACTGTGACCTTGGCCAGGTAACTGACCCACCTATGCCACAGTTTATTCACCCACAAAATGCAAATCATAAAAGTGCCAAGCTTAAAGGATCAATGTGAGCATTCAATGGTTTAATATCCTTTAAACACTTAGGACAATGCGTGGCCCATAACAAGCACTAATGTTGGTCACACACAAAGATATACAAATACTCTCATATTTGTTTATATTGAATGTTTACATCACACACAGGAGTAGCTTAATGGAGTTCCATGTGGAAAAGTAATCTCAGTAAAAGGTGCAAGTGGGTCTAGAAATTTCATTTGGAAAACTCACTTGGGACCATAATAGACTAGTTCCCATCAACCACAAAAGCAACAGCTTGAATATCTACAAGACGCTGGGTTTCTCCTTGGCTGTCTGAGCCACGCAGACAATCCCCCACCGCCAGCCACCACCCAGTGACAGCTGGGCCCGGAGCCAGAGCCCTGTCATCACGTCCTACTGCACAGAAATTACCGAGGGTAAAACCACCATAATTTGACTTCCCAGAGTGGAGGTCAATTTGATAGGCTTGGCAAAAACACAACTTTCATGTGGAAAACACATTTTTTTCCCCTCTGCTGCAGTTTTTTTTAGGACATTAATTGTTAAGCAATATAGAAAAGTCTTCCTGAGCATCTTTCTTCTTGATTTTTAAAATACTGGAACTAAGCACCCATTTACTAATCTTTTCGGACATTCTGCCAGCTGAAACATTTGGAATCCTTCTTTTCCTACTGTGAAATCTCTATGGACTCAGGAACCACATATAACCCAATAAGGTTCTGAGTTTCTAGTCTGAATCAATACTGTCTAGTTAAGTTTGTTTAGAAAGAACAGCTGGGTCTATGCATTCTGGTTCATCTGATTGTCGCGAAAATTATTCTTAGGTGTTTTCATCCGTGCTTGGAAACAAATTCTCCCTTTGAACCTTCTCTCTTTTCCTCGCTCCTTCCCACCAGCTTTGTCTGAACACCTGCTGAAAGCGGGAATCTATCACACCACACAGTCCTCCTGGAGGGTTCCAGGCCTGAGCCCACGCCTGCAGATGCAGACACATTAAGCGCGTCTGTTGAAAGGCACCCCAGCAACAGCTCATGTCCTCTGCGCTGGAAAATTATCCTCACCCAAAATAGCAACTTGTTTCCCACGTTCAAATAATTTCCAAATGACTTGTGACTGCTGTTCGTTTTGCCGTCTGTTTTCAGCTGATATGCCCCAGGGGCTTCCGGCAAGGCAGTCTGCAGAGGTGAGGGCCATCTCCCACGGAGATGGAGGCAACATGTTTAGGAAACCTCTCAGTCAAAAGAAGCACACCAACAATAAGAGAGGGGAAGAAAGAAAAATTAAAATAAGTTCTCCAAAGAGAGAGAAAAGGAAATGGAAGCCAAGCAACAATTTCTCAAACTTAAAAAAAACACACAGGCACAAATCCACTCCTTAGGTTTGAATGGTAATTGTTTACATGGCTCAGCTCTCCTGCATGGCAGCCCAGCATCATACCCGTCTGCCAATTTCGCCTCCCCTCTTAATGTCTCAGTGACATCAAATTTAACTTGCCCCAAACCAAACATTTCAAACCAACCAACCTGGGGTCTAACAGAGTCCGTGCCTCAGAAAAGGTACTGCCATCTACCCAGGGGAGCCAAAATCCCAGAGTCATCCTTGGCACCCCTTTCCCTCCCTCTCCTATATTGAATCCATCACCAAAGTCTGTCAATTTTACCTCCCACATCTTTCCAGAATCTATGCAACTCTCCATCCTCACCGCCACACCCCCGGCCCATTTTCTCAGGCCAGGACTATTGCAACTGCCTCCAACTAACTGGTCTCCTGCATTTAAACGGCTGTCCAATCTATCCTGCAATCAGAGGCTTACTTTTCTAATGAAACATTATCCTGTCACCCGCTACTTAAAATATCACTCTTATCCTAGTAGTGAGCCAAAATCCATATGATGTTCTACAAGACCCTAGCTTACCTCGTTTTCTGTGCTCTTTCTTTCAATTCCTGATACCAATTATACTCTCCTGCCCTTGTTCACACCATTCCATCTGTCTGGACTCCTCTTCCTCTCTCGTCCCCTTTCTGCCTCTAAATTATTTAGACCTCAAGTCTCATCAGGAAAGCCTGTCCAAATCCTCCAGTCTAGCCAGCTTCTTTTCTCATATGCCCCTTTCTTTCATAGTTTACTTCCATTTGTAATTTTATACTCATTTCTAGAATCATCTGATAAGTGTCATTATCCCCCAGTGGAGTATACACATCTCAGAGACGGAGGAAGGAGAGACCACGGTACTTTGGAGAACCCGAAAGGAAGCTGACACTCCTGGAGGCCAGGGTGGGGGACAGGGCAGCAGAAAGTTTGATTGAGTTCTTCCAAACATTTAAGAGAGAAATGGCACTTTTCCTTTAAATCCAGAAAAAGGAAAAGGGGAAGCATTTCTCAATTATGAGTTTGGCATAAGCTTAATATCAAAATCTCATGAGGACAATACAAAAAGCAAAATTACAGAAAAATTTCTTTCATAAACATAGACACAAAAAACCCTAGGCTGCATATTACCAAGTTGAATTCAGGAATATGTAAACAGGATCATACATCACCATCAATGGGGATTCATTCCAGGAATACGAGTGGTTCAGCCACAACTGTAACCACTCAGTATAATTCACCACATAAACAGAGCCAAGAAGAAAAATCATACGATCATTTTGATAGATGCAAAAAAGGCATTTGAAAAAATTCTATAGCCATTTGTGTTTAAAAGAAAAAACCTCATTAAACTAGAAATAAAGAGGAATTTCCTTAATCTGAAGAAAAATATCTACATAAAAGCTATGGTAGAGTATAGCCAAACGCCTTGCAGTAAGGGGCCCAGCACACACACTGCAGAATCTGCGTGGAGCTCCTGCAGTGACTCCAGAACTTGTATGTACTGACATTTTAAGAACTAAAAGGTTTTATAATATGAAAAAAAAAAATCCAAACAAGAGGAGCTGCACATTCTGCTGCTATAACATTAGGAGGTGGTTTGATAGAAGCTGAAAGACTTTATTCAGTATTTTCTGAACATGGACCTGCTATGGACCTGTAGCAACTATCTCAAACCCAAGACAAATGTGAAAAATCAATACATCTTGATGTTTTCTTAGAACTCTGAGACAAGTATAAAGAATGTATGTCTACTGATGTTGGCTCTGGCATAGTCAACCAGCTGAATAAGTGCCAGGAGCTGCAGACCTCCAGACTCTCTCATTATGTGATAAAGAATGAACTCATATGTGATTAAAATATAAGCAAACAAATAAACCAACAGGAAAAAACCTGACTTATAGCAATGTGTCACTGATGTGCAATAGGAAAATAATAATATAGATGGTTCTGGGTCAATTGGAAGCCCATAAAGAAAACAATGTATTTTGATCCCTACCTCACACCGTGCAATAATTAACTCCAGATGGACTGCAGATCTACATGGGAAAGGTAAAGCAATAAAGCTTTTAGAAGAAAATATAGGATATACAGATGTTCAGTTGTAATAGTTGTCCAAATTAACTGTACCTATTTACACTCAGGAGGTTTTTTTGCTGAATATATACATTATTAATATCTTCTCCAGTTTGTGTCCTCCTTTTCCTTCTCTTTACGGTATCTTTAGATGCAGAGAATTTCTTAATCTTTATATAGATCAACTAACCATTTTTTTCTTTACACTTTCCAGCATTTGTGCTTTTTTCAATAAACTTTTGCCTTCTGCAAGATCATAAAGATATTCACCTATGTTTTCCAATCTTGATATTGGTAGTTGATTTTTTCACTCTTTTCATGATCAGCCATGAGTTTATTAATTTTATTAATCTTTCAAATAATCAATTTTTGGTGCTGTTTACTCTCTATTATGTTTCCTACTAGATTGAACCATATGAAACTACCATTTTTATAGAGCAAAATGGATCAATATCAGCAATTTCCTAAGCCTCAAATTAATATTTTATTAATTGCTACTCTGATCTTTAGTATTTTCTTCTTGGCACCTTCTTCAGGTTTAATGTGCTGTTCTTTCTGTATGGTTTCTTGAGATCACTGATTTTCAGTCTTTCTTCTTTTCTAACACATGCGTTTAGGGTTATAAAGCTCCCTCTGAGCACTGTTTTAGCTCCATGCCATAATTTTGATATGTCATATCTTCATTATCATTCAGTTCAAAATATTAATTCCCATTGTGACTTCTGTGATCATGGACTATTTAGGAGTATAATTTTAAGTTTCCAGGTACTGGAGATTTTCTGGTTATCTTTTTATTACTTATTTCTAGTTTAATTCCATTACAGACAGAGAATATACTTTGAATCAAGTCGCTCCCTTGACATTTGTTGAGATTTCTTTTATGGCTCAGCATATGGTCAATTTGGGCTCATGTTCCACGTGCACTTGAAAATAATGTCAGTTCTGTAATTGCTGTGAGCAATGCTCCACACAGAATTTTGATCAAATGTATTAATTGTGTTGTTCGGATCTTCTGTATCCTTAATGATTTTTTGTCTGCTTATTCTATCAGTTATAGAAAGAGTTGTGTAAAAGAATAGCAATTGGATTGTGAATTTGTCTCTCTTTATAGTTCTCTCAATCTTTGCCATATATATTATTAAGCTACGTTATTGAGTGCATACAGATTTAAGACTGTGCTATATTACTGGTAGATGGACTCTTTTATGATTACAAAATATCCCTCTTTATCTCTATCAATGTTTCTTAACTTAAAGTCAACTTTGTCTGATATTAGATTAGCAAATCCTGCTTTGTTCTGGTTAGGGTTTATATGATATATCTCTTTCCATCCTTTT